ACATTCTGGAACAGGACTGCAGTCCAGAAGTGGATGAACAACCAGGACTTTCCACCAGACTTTACAGCTGGTGAACGCGAAGAAGAAAAAGAATCGACATCACAGCACTCGGAACACCCCCATAAGCGCTGCGTCCCCTATCTCCAGCAGCAAGCTAAGAGTTAAAATTCTGATAGTATCAGTAACTGTCTGATTGTATGTCCGTCTCGTCTTTCCTCTGGGTGTCGAGCGTTGGAGAGATCCCCTTGAAACTCCTCGCAGTGCCGTTCTCTTCAGACAGTAATGATCTAGCTGTTCCTCTGCATGGTTCACTCGCTGTTAAAGGGCCCTCACAACATCCAGCTTGCCATACACCAGTTAAATATCAGGTGGTGAAGAACCAGCCAGTCTATCTGCCTGCTCATTTCCCAACACACCGGCATAGCCTGGAGAAAATATCCCAAGGGTGTTAACTATCCGGGACCTCTGAAGTGATGCTTGCCACTCTGTGCGGAGCATGCCTGTCTCCACCTTTCTCAGCATGCTCTGTGAGTCAGTTACAGTGATGACATGTGTGTACAGCTGATTCACAATTCAGCGGAAGGCAGCAGTGACTGCATCCACCTCCATTCTCAAACCAGACTTTTTTTGCACCAAGTGACGTTCATTCACCTTCAATATGAACACCCATGCACTTCACCTGTCCCTCAAAATAGAGCCATCTGTAAAGATAATCACATGATTTGGGCAGGAATAAACGTGAATCATTTGTTGAAACGTCTGATTCTGCAGCACCAACTGGCCAGTCCCAGCACTTACGTCCCAAAGTGATTAGAACCCTACACAAATCTGAGATCTGACCGGACACTTTGACCCACCCCTCACCTTGCGCAAATTTATCAAGCCTGCTTCATGCAGGAGGTGCCTCTTGTCCGCAGATGACATTGCTTGCAGAACTTTTAGCCCATTTGCAATAGTAGGCAGTGCAAGTATATATCACATACATACTACCGCGGTATCTATTGTACATCGCAGAATTACCCACATGGCTTTATTCTGTATGCGTTTAAGTTTTATCAGCTGACTCTTTGAAATGGTAAGCATGCCAAGTCCAAAATGTCACCTACAGGAGCACATGCTGGAACATTGTGAACAACATTTATTGTTCAGTGTCCATTGCTGCCATAATCTTGAGAACATTGAGTCCTTTTTTGGCATTTCACTGCAACTGCATCCACATGATCCCTGAAGGACAGACTTCTATTGAAAGTGATACCCAGGTACACCTCAGTTGGCTTTTTCTTTTAATGTTTCTGTTATTAACTCTGAGGTTTAGAATGTTAGCTTTTACAATTCTATTGTCCAGAGAGCACTACAAAACAGCCGCCTTTTCTGAGTTGATGACAGCACCCATTTCTGCACACCAGTCAGTCACTTTGTCTACACTTGCCTGTAGCTCTTGGACTATCCGTTGCCTATCTCTCCCCTGCCTACATGCAAGAACATCATCGGCTAATGTCAATATTCTTCCAGCCCAGCACTGGAGGATCACCTCAGTGTGGTCTACACTAGACTTGGTCCTAGGCCAGCACTTGGGGATCATCTCAGTGTGGTCTACACTAGACTTGGTCCTAGGCCAGCACTGGAGGATCACCTCAGTGTGGTCTACATTAGGCTTGGTCCCAGCCCAGCACTGGAGGATCACCTCAATGTGGTCTACATTAGGCTTTCTCCCAGCCCAGCACTTGAGGATCACCTCAGTATGGTCTGCACTAGACTTTGTCCCAGCCCAGCACTTGAGGATCACCTCAGTGTGGTCTGCACTAGACTTGGTCCCAGCCCAGTACTTGAGGATCACCTCAGTGTGGTCTACACTAGGCTTGGTCCCAGCATTTGAGGGTCACCTCAGTGTGGTCTACCTTAGACTTGGTCTTAGGCCAGCACTTCAAGGATCAACTGTGTGTGGTGTGAAGCTCAAGCACCAGTCTGGTTCCTACACTTTGAAAAAACATTAGAGTTCTTCAAGCGCTGAATTTTATAGGGAAAAGGATAGACTCACTGCTTTCCTTACGAGCTTGTGGTACAAGACAACTAATGAGGGGTGCATCTGTCTGAGAGGCAAGAAACCAACAGTCTGCATAGAAATAAGCCAGGTCTGTAATTGGATGTGTGCACAAGATGCAAATCCAGAAGTGGACGAACAACAATCATTATCCTGGCTCACTGGATTTTACAGCTGGTCAACAATGAGAGGAAAAAGTAGTGAATTGCCTGTTTTTGGCAGCGCTCTCCACTCCCCCCCCCCCCCTTCATTTTCTAAAAAGTATCTGAAGGTACAGGTCCTCTGCATCTGTAACGGGGACTGTTAGGATCGCACAATATGATTTTTGAACCACTGTAACGGGGACTGTTACGATCGCACAATATGGTTTTTGAACATCTGTAACGGGGACTGTTACAATCGCACAATATGATTTTTGAACATCTGTAACGGGGACTGTTACGATCGCACAATATGATTTTTGAACATCTGTAACAAGGACTTTTACAATCGCACAATATGATTTTTGACATCTGTAACTGGGATTGTTACAATCGCTCAGTATGATTTTCGAACATCTGTAACGGGGACTGTTACAATCGCACATTATTATTTTTGAACATCTGATTCAGTAGTCAGCTGTTCTGCAACATTAGTAGCTATTTAATAACAGGTTTGTGTTTTTGTATACAGATATTCTGTAACAGTGCAACCACACAATTCTGTGGCAGTGAATTAGTATTGCTAGAATCCAGCAACATTCTATTTCAGAATGGTATTTTATGATGAACTAGCCTTACACTTCCATGGTGGTTTATGGGCATTTGTTGACTCTCTGTGTTTAGATGATCCATTTGGTACTTTTAGTAGGTTTTGTTTTTGTAATTGATTTAACACTTACATTTGTCACACCCTCACTTCCAGATACCTGTTTTGTTGCTCGGGTCTCCTGGTTAAAGTGTTCAACACAACAAATGGAGAATGTTTCCATGATCTGAAAGGTCACACGAAGCAGGTGACTGGGGTCGCAGTCAACCCCAGCAATGTCCTTCAGGTATTGTGTACAAATTGTGTGTGCATTTTTTTTTAGCAATCCCCTTTAAGGATTCAAAATGCTCACAGCAATCAAATGCCAGCCATCTCTGTATTACAGGTCGGCTGACATGAGTCTCCGTCCCCCCATAGTCCTGTATTTTCATGGTGCAATGAGACAGACAGCCTCTTTTAGTCCATCTCTTGGTATTGTTCATCCACTTACATGGCTCTCCTCTTTCTCCAGTGCACAATTTTTCAAAGAGCTGTTGCTTCTCATGTGCCTAAAACATGTTGCTGGACTTCATTCTCATTGACTCCTTACTTCTGATATACTTGGTTATCTGCACAGTTCTGTTCTGCTAAAAAATTTTCTGTTAACTCCCGTTTCTAAGTTTACACTTTTATATCTGCTAAGTAATTAAAAAAAATTGTTTGTGTTATAATATCAATTCATACATTTGTTTCTTACCCTTTTCCTTTATCCTGGGTTATAGATAGTGCCGTCACATGCCTAGTGACCTGGCAGTGATTTTATTATTGCTACAGAAAATACACTGAAATAGAAATCGGCAAGGCTGCAGATGTGGCTAACAAAGATAAAAAAAAAAATTGAGGTCATAAGAGAAAAAACAAACACAAACCAATTCTAAATTACATACAAAGACAGTAAATAAAATGGTGTGCTTACTTAGAATGCCTGCTGTCACCATACCATCCAAGACATACTCCAAAAGAGGAGAAGGGTGTAGAACACAAGGTAGACCAAGAACAACATGGAATGATAACATCAGAGAAACTCTATAACAAAGTACCTAAGGTCGAGGCAGCCAGGAGAGCAAGGAGCAGAATGGCAGCAGTAAGAGACAAAGTGAAAAAGGAGTGATTCACAATGAAGTCTACGTTTGTTTTTCTTTTCAGCATGAGAGAGATGGGAAAGGGGAGACGGAGCAGGAGATAGAAAAAAAATATAGCAGAATAGGAGCAAAAGGGGGATATATATGAGAAAGATTGGAGGGGAGATAGAGCAGAATGGAGGCGAAGGGGAGATAAATATGGGAAAAGAGGTGGGAGGAGAGACAGAGCGCGAGAGAAACTACCTTTCTTATTCTACACCACAACTTATACACTTATTACTTGTCCCATGTATATCATTCTTATATACAAATACAGTGGTGTGGGATTAGTTTTGACTGATCTGATTTCTAAGGTCAGCTATGCTGTCATGATCATTGAAACTGACTTAAGACAGTCCCATGGTTGCTCAGTCCCCAAAAACAGCACCCATCCCATGGTATTTCCACTGACTATTACTGTTATAAGTTTATTCTGGTATACCCTGTCTTGAAGATGAACTCTTCTTCGATGTATACCCTTGGGTAGAGCTTGTCCCCCCAAAGTGCTGGCATTCACCACAAAGTGTCTATAACAGTGGCACTGAAAACAGTGGTGTCTAAAAGAAAAGGTGTCACCCGGAAACTAGCCCTGCCTTAAAGATGGCCATAACGTACTTGATCAGACTTCAGTTCCATGTCATGAAGCTAGGTTAGCGTCTTGCCAGTATCCACAAGCAGAGTCTGCATTCAGAATTGGCTATATTATCCCTGTACATGCTTCTTTCCATTTGTATAAGTGCGTCATTTGCCATGAAAGCCATGCTTTCACAGCCCCCTTGCTCTGGTATGTCCTGGTGCAAATGTTTAGGTGGAAGATATAAAGGATTTATTGTTCCTGCCAGTACTGCTCAAAAGTTTACTCAGCCTTATAATAGGGCTATAGATCAATAGTTAAAATTGTGTTGGAATTGTTTGAGAATTAAACACAATGAAGACGGAAGGAAACTTGTCAGTCCATGTCATGATGCCTGGCTAGAATATTTACATGGGCTTTATTTTGTGTGCATTTATATGTCTATTTATTGCATACAATTGTCTGTCTTTGCCAATAGATTTTGTCCTGTGGACAAGACGGGTTGTTGATATATTGGGACTATTTAGACGGAGTCCGACTGCAGGTCAGTATTCTAGTAATATTGTTTTCAACCATTTTCCAATCCTTTTAAAAGTATTGCAGAGAAGGGTTTTGGGTGGATTGTTGTGTAAGGTCAGTCTGATTAATTTGTTCATTTTATTATGTGTAAAATTTTTATATTTTATATGACTAATTGATTAAATTAAGAATGTTTGCTCTCCTCCGAACTTCGTCCCCATATTATGGCAGCCCAAGGTGTACCCTAACAGGGCCTCAGTCATGTGTAAAATGCGAACTTCCTCCGACGAACACATCGCGGTAAAACTAGGATTACTGTCAGTTGACAATTTCGAGAAACAACAATAAACGCGATAATAGCGACAAAACTGGGAGACCACGCGCTGAGGCGCAGGTTAGTGATAGTGTTCTTCCGATTAAACTCACCTCCGAGCTGGGGGGCTAAACTAGATGGCTAAGACTTACTAGCAGCAGCTACCGCATCTCCTGCAACTTCCTCCAATTTATGTGCTCCTGAGTCCTAGCCATCTTGTTTAGCCCCCCCCTCCCCATCCGCACGTAGAGGGGGATACTCTCGGCGGTGCAAAATAGTCGCCAGACAGAGGTCCGCAATTAACATATCCTGAGACCCTGTTAGTATATTTTTTTGCCCTCGATAATAGTGGCGCGTTATTTGGAGGCAATTCTAGATTTGCCACGATTTGTTCCCTGGCAGGCACTCTGCATTTTACACACGACTGAGGCCCAGTTAGGGTATTTATGTGGATGCCATAATATAGGAAGGAAGTTCGGAGGAGAGCCAAATTTGTGTAATGTATCCAGTTTATTAATTTTTTCATTTGTTTAATGTGTCCAGTAGATTAAATTTGTACAGTTTTGTCATGAGTCTGATTGATGTGCCTTCCGAATTAGCCTAATGAGTTAATTTTGTGGTGACCTGTTTCTTGCAGTAATAGATAAAGTGACAGGTATAGATTCTGTCTCATACTTATGGTCCTGGTGCAAGCTGCCATTCGTATTATAGGAAATCATTAGAATCAGAGGAGGCTGTGCTCCCCTTTATCACTGGGTGGTAGAGCTGACACCTAACTTTCGTGGATATAGACATGCTACATGGGTCACTTCATTATTTGGATGGGTAAACGAAAAGGCTGTCAATCAGATTAAATTTAAACAAATCTTAGTGAAGCTCACAGTAAGAATAATAGTAGGATGAATGATTCTGAGACCCACACACACATATCTAGATCTTCGCCGGTGCTATCTGATACCCACACACACATATCTAGATCTTTGCCGGTGCTATCTGATACCCACACACACATATCTAGATCTTCGCCGGTGCTATCTGAAACCCACACACACATATCTAGATCTTCGCCGGTGCTATCTGATACCCACACACACATATCTAGATCTTCGCCGGTGCTATCTGATACCCACACACACATATCTAGATCTTCACCGGTGCTATCTGATACCCACACACACATATCTAGATCTTCACCGGTGCTAAGCCATTCATGAGCATTTCTGCTTTTGTGATTTATGAAAAAAAAGTCATTTCATGGCATTTATAGTTTGTGTACATTTATGACACTGAGATTTTCATCTGCAGCAGCATGACTTGCACATGGCCCCAAATGGCATTGTATAGTTTGTGTGTATATTTATGACACTGAGATTTTCATTTGCAGCAATATGACCCAAACATGTCCCTACAAACTGTATAGTTTGTGTACATTTATGACACAGAGATTTTCATCTGCAGCAATATGACCTGCACATATCCCTACATGACACTGTATAGTTTGTGTACATTTATGACACTGAGATTTTCATTTGCAGCAATATGACCTACACATGTCCCTACATGACACTGTATAGTTTGTGTACATTTATGACACTGAGATTTTCATCTGCAGCAATATGACCTGCACATGTCCCTACATGACACTGTATAGTTTGTGTACATTTATGACACAGAGATTTTCATCTGCAGCAATATGACCTGCACATATCCCTACATGACATTGTATAGTTTGTGTACATTTATGACACAGAGATTTTCATCTGCAGCAATATGACCTGCACATATCCCTACATGACACTGTATAGTTTGTGTACATTTATGACACTGAGATTTTCATTTGCAGCAATATGACCTACACATGTCCCTACATGACATCCTGCATGTCAATGCCAAGAACAAGTCCATCATCATGCTGGCACAGACGGCAGCTCACAAAACTAGTAAGTCCTGGCTGTCAGAAAGTATGTCTAGATAAAACCTTCCGTATTTTATTGTGTCCAACTCCAAGCTCTAAAGCTTTTGAGGCAAAGCTAAGCTATTCTGTTACTTCTTCAGCATTCTGAGCCCTTGAGGTTCATTGTTGCAGATAAATACCACCTACATTCATCTTTCTGACTGGCCTTCTTTTTCCACTTGGCAATCTCAAGTGTACATAGGTCTGCATAAATATCTTCACCTGTCACAGACCCCTGATCGGCCTTGATGGCCCGTGGCTCATTTAGTGGGCCTCTGACAGACAATCTAAACCTAGCATACACTGAACCCAGACGCACATAGAGCACACATGACAATCTTTAATGTAAATCACAGATATAACAAAAGCACAGTTGACTTCCTGCTGTATGGCCACTTGTTACCTGGAACCCTGGCCGTGCAAGCTTTACATTCACTACACGTGCCAGCGCGTTCTCTCGCCACATCCTAGGTTCGCAAATCACACCTCTGCGGGATATGCTCTTTTTCCTTGTCATTGGGCCTCACCAGGATTGCAGAACTTCTGTCGGGTGCAGGGCCACTGTGCCAAGGCTAGAAATCTTCACACAAACCATATCACAACCTGATCCTACAGATCAGAATGTACCAACACTACTTATGAAACAACACCACGCTTGTCGCTGTTAAATGCTTCACAACACAAAGAAGCTATCCTACCATAACGTAACACTTAACAAAATTTATGTGGTCACTAAAGTATTATTCTAAACCTAACGTTCTACATCTGTCCAGCTACATACGTCCTTCCTGTCTCAAGTCACCAAGTCGAGTCCCCGTTTCCTTCCACCTCGTGACTTTTGTCAGGTTCATTTCACTCAGATTATGTCATGCAGCAAACGTGACCTGAAACAGACATAGAAAGAGAGTTCACTCTTTCAGCACTTAAATGCAGTCATCGCTGGTCTTGGTGAGCGGTAGTTTCCCCTAAGTACCAATAGCACATACTTGGACAGTCATGTCATCCGCTGTGCTGACCTCTGTGTCAACTCTGGGTTCTTCCACTACACACAGTACACCGTCTCTATGGTTTACACTGCCACATGACTGTACAGAACAGGGTTCTGACCCTACCGTCTTCTTGGCCTGTCTTTTGGACATCTCCCATTCAGCTCTTTTGTGTATGCAATTTGTATCTCTCTGTTAGCTGCCATTTTCTCCATGTGCCCTCATGATGCCAGTAATTAGAGTTCATATGTGGGATACTTTACAAATAAACCCGAGCATGTTCGACTCTTCCTTCTGAGCTTGCCATAGTGGAATATTCTAGCATTCTTGGATGAGGCAGAAGAACTATAGGTTTAGTGTGTGTGGGTGTTACTGGTATACTCAATCCTTTGACAGGCTGAAATTGTGAACAGCCAGCTGTACAAGCCACTACAGTGGTACACATGCTAAACCAGAAAAACCAAGCCTGTAGATTGATACATGTACGTAATGGTTACTTCGCTAGTTTGCTAGTTCTGTGAAGTGAAGAAAGTCACAGCCCATATAAATAGATAGCCCCATGGTGAGAGAGAGAAGTGTTTTTCAGTCCAGACAATCCATCATTGTTACTCGGACATCAGAATTGTATGCACATATACAGCTAAAAATAATAGATGTAAACTCCCCCCTCTCCCTTTCTTTCTCTCCCTCTCTCTCTCTCTCTCTCTCTCTCTCTCTCTCTCTCTCTCTCTCTCTCTCTCTCTCTCTCTCTCTCTCTCTCTCTCTCTCTCTCTCTCTCTCTCTCTCTCTCTCTCTCTCTCTCTCTCTCTCTCTCTCTCTCTCTCTCTCTCTCTCTCTCTCAGTAGGGCCTGCAAGTGAGTTCCAAGCTGCTATGCTACCATATTTCTCACATTTAATAGAGGGCCATACCAGATTTTCAGTTCAAAAGATTCATCCACAAAAGTAATATTTCGGCCCACATTGCTGCTACAGGGTTTAAATACTGCACTAAGATTCTCCTTATGGAAATATATGTGTGCATTAAATTCCATCTTTGAGCACAACTAAAAGAAAAACAGTCATTTCTATCCACTTGTGACTTCTCATCTTTTCCACCTGTCAGTAAATGTGATGAAAAGAAGTCTCCTTGGTTGAGCCAGTTGTGTCTTTACATTTTCAGCTTTCAGTTTAATGTTGTGGAAGAGAAGCAAACAAGATATCAATGAATTCTCCAAGCCAAAGCTGCTGATAGAACAGTGTAATGGTGACCATCGTTTGGTGTCTTTTGGATGTAAGGTAAAGTGGAAACCATTCAATGCTGTCCATTGTTTAGTGTCTTTTGGATGTCAGATAAAGTGGAAACCATTCAATGCTCTCCATTGTTTAGTGTCTTTTGGATGTCAGATAAAGTGGAAACCATTTGATGACAGCCATTGTTTAGTGTCTTTTGAATGTCAGATAAAGTGGAAACCATTTGATGACAGCCATTGTTTAGTGTCTTTTGGATGTCAAGTAAAGTAGAAACCATTCAGTGATCACCATTGTTCAGTGTCTTATCTTCTCCTCTTCCTCCTCTAGTCCTGTGTTGCCTTTCGGTATCAGGTTTTGAAGAAACACTAGATGAGAGCCTTGGTGACTAGATGCTAGTATTTACAGCTTCAGATATTCCGTCTATCCACACCAGGCGTGGTCAGACCTTTGGATCTGCTTCCATTATGTCTAATTGACAGGGCTCTGTGGTGCACACTCTGATGGTAGTGTTTTTGGAATGCTAGGTTGAGAAAGAGAGAGACGTTTTGATAGTGGTTTAGTGTCATTTGTGTGTAAGGTAAATAGGGAGCAGTATGGTAATGGTTTAGTGTGATTTATGTGTAAGGTAAATAAGGAACAGTATGATGATAGTTTAGTGTCATTTGTGTGTAGGGTAAATAAGGAACAGTATGATGATAGTTTAGTGTCATTTGTGTCTAGGGTAACATTAAAATATTGTAAGTAAGAAGATGCCATTACTGCCTTTATTTACAACTTGTGCAATGTAGGCAGGCAGGTCTGTGAGCCTGGGGACTGTGCATGTTATGGTTTTATTTCTGTTAACCTTATCAAGGATTTGAACCTGGGTCTTCCGCCAGAGAACCTGCATTCTTGAACATTGTGATATAACACCATATTTGTTTGGTCAGCACAGAATAGCCGTTTACCTCTGAATATATTGTTTGTATTATTAATCTATACCATATCCTCAGTCTCATATCTCATTGATTTTCTTTTTCAGAATGAATACATTGGGTCTGGATTAGAACGTCGGCTGTCAATCTATTCCATGAAAAAGGACACCATCAAAGTGTGAGTGGACTCCTCTTGTGTGATTCCATATATTGCTTCAGCCACTCAACGCCACACGCAAGCTGCAGCCACATTTCTTTGTGTCTGAACATATGGGCAGCCACATTTCTTTGTGTCTGAACATATGGGCAGCCACATTTCCTTGTATCTGAACATGTACACAGCCACATTTCCTTGTATCTGAACATGTACACAGCCTCATTTCCTTGTATCTGAACATGTACGCAGCCACATTTCCTTGTATCTGAACATGTACACAGCCACATTTCCCTGTATCTGAACATGTACGCAGCCACATTTCATTGTACCAACATAGGAGAAGCCACCTTTCTCTGCATCTGAACAAATTAGCAGCTTAAGTCCCCTATACCTGAACATATAGGCAGCTAAATTTTCCCGTATCTGAACATATGGGCATTGACTTTTCCCTGTGTTTGAACATATGAGTAGACACCTTTCTATGTATCTGAACAAATTGGCAGCCATCTTTCCCAAATTATGGTAAACCCACGGATGAAGCTGCTGAAAATTTCTACCAGATAGAAAAAACTTTTTTGATAAACAACAGTGCAAGCTGTGAGAGTAAAACTTGTAATACCTACTAGCTGTCAGCCGTGGCAAGTTGAATACCACCAGTATTTCGATCATAACCATGAAATACCAGTTTTCTTTGACAAATTTAGCTGTTATTCCCAGTTATTCTCAATGCATTTAGTTGTATTTGGGCAAATAGGGCTGGACCTGTATTTTCATACCAAATGGCACTCGGTGGGTGATGTGGTCAACACTACACCAGCCACCTTTACTTTCCAGAACTTTCCTTGGTGCCTTGTTAAGGCTGGGTCATCCTGGGAGGCAAAGTAAACAAAAAACAACAAAAACGGCTTTTGTGATTTAAAACCTCAACCTTTTGATCCGCAGGAAGGCATCTAGTCCTACACCACAGCAGCTGCCTTTTACATCTAGTGAAGGAGTTAAATTCATTGTCAACAGCTGAAGTTGAAGTTATGTTATCTGTGACACAGTTAAGCCAGTAAAATAGATGAACACGCAAAACTCGGACCCTGCCATAAAGCCAGAGTCAAACAACCAAAACTTTTTGCCAGTGCTTACAACCGGTGAACAAACAAGAAGAAGAATGGCCAACAAAAGCAAGTTTGGGGATGTAGACAAATGTGACAAAATAACAGTTAATATAACCTCAAGACAGTTTGTGATGGTTTCACTGGCCACCTTAAATCCTCAGACGAGACAGTTTGTGATGGTTTCACTGGCCACCTTAAATCCTCAGACGAGACAGTTTGTGATGGTTTCACCGGCCACCCTAAACCCTCAGACTCAATACAGTTTGTGATGGTTTCACCGGCCACCATAAACCCTCAGACTCAATACAGTTTGTGATGGTTTCACTGGCCACCCTAAACCCTCAGACTCAATACAGTTTGTGATGGTTTCACTGGCCACCCTAAACCCTCAGACTTGATACAGTTTGTGATGGTTTCACCGGCCACCCTAAACCCTCAGACTCAATACAGTTTGTGATGGTTTCACTGGCCACCCTAAACCCTCAGACTTGATACAGTTTGTGATGGTTTCACCGACCACCCTAAACCCTCAGACTTGATACAGTTTGTGATGGTTTCACCGGCCACCCTAAACCCTCAGACTTGATACAGTTTGTGATGGTTTCACCGACCACCCTAAACCCTCAGACTTGATACAGTTTGTGATGGTTTCACCGACCACCCTAAACCCTCAGACTCAATACAGTTTGTGATGGTTTCACCGGCCACCCTAAACCCTCAGACTTGATACAGTTTGTGATGGTTTCACCGGCCACCCTAAACCCTCAGACTCAATACAGTTTGTGATGGTTTCACCGGCCACCCTAAACCCTCAGACTCAATACAGTTTGTGATGGTTTCACCGGCCACCCTAAACCCTCAGACTCAATACAGTTTGTGATGGTTTCACCGGCCACCCTAAACCCTCAGACTTTATACAGTTTGTGATGGTTTCACCGACCACCCTAAACCCTCAGACTCAATACAGTTTGTGATGGTTTCACCGACCACCCTAAACCCTCAGACTCAATACAGTTTGTGATGGTTTCACTGGCCACCCTAAACCCTCAGACTCAATACAGTTTGTGATGGTTTCACCGACCACCCTAAACCCTCAGACTTGATACAGTTTGTGATGGTTTCACCGGCCACCCTAAACCCTCAGACTCGATACAGTTTGTGATGGTTTCACCGACCACCCTAAACCCTCAGACTTGATACAGTTTGTGATGGTTTCACCGACCACCCTAAACCCTCAGACTCGATACAGTTTGTGATGGTTTCACCGACCACCCTAAACCCTCAGACTTGATACAGTTTGTGATGGTTTCACCAGCCACCCTAAACCCTCAGACTTGATACAGTTTGTGATGGTTTCACCGACCACCCTAAACCCTCAGACTCAATACAGTTTGTGATGGTTTCACCGACCACCCTAAACCCTCAGACTTGATACAGTTTGTGATGGTTTCACCGGCCACCCTAAACCCTCAGACTCAATACAGTTTGTGATGGTTTCACCGGCCACCCTAAACCCTCAGACTCGATACAGTTTGTGATGGTTTCACTGGCCACCCTAAACCCTCAGACTCAATACAGTTTGTGATGGTTTCACCGACCACCCTAAACCCTCAGACTTGATACAGTTTGTGATGGTTTCACCGGCCACCCTAAACCCTCAGACTCAATACAGTTTGTGATGGTTTCACCGACCACCCTAAACCCTCAGACTTGATACAGTTTGTGATGGTTTCACCGGCCACCCTAAACCCTCAGACTTGATACAGTTTGTGATGGTTTCACCGGCCACCCTAAACCCTCAGACTTGATACAGTTTGTGATGGTTTCACCGGCCACCCTAAACCCTCAGACTTGATACAGTTTGTGATGGTTTCACCGGCCACCCTAAACCCTCAGACTTGATACAGTTTGTGATGGTTTCACCAGCCACCCTAAACCCTCAGACGTGAGACAGTTTGTGATGGTTTCACCGGCCACCCTAAACCCTCAGACTCAATACAGTTTGTGATGGTTTCACCGGCCACCCTAAACCCTCAGACTTGATACAGTTTGTGATGGTTTCACCAGCCACCCTAAACCCTCAGACGTGAGACAGTTTGTGATGGTTTCACCGGCCACCCTAAACCCTCAGACTCAATACAGTTTGTGATGGTTTCACCGGCCACCCTAAACCCTCAGACTCAATACAGTTTGTGATGGTTTCACCGGCCACCCTAAACCCTCAGACTCGATACAGTTTGTGATGGTTTCACCGGCCACCCTAAACCCTCAGACTCAATACAGTTTGTGATGGTTTCACCGGCCACCCTAAACCCTCAGACTCAATACAGTTTGTGATGGTTTCACCGGCCACCCTAAACCCTCAGACTCAATACAGTTTGTGATGGTTTCACCGGCCACCCTAAACCCTCAGACTCGAGACACCCTTACCCACACCTGGCTGGCATAACCATTACGGGTGCCTTATTTATAACTGTTTTCTGTAGGTTAAACAGGATATCTGGGATTTGCCTTGTTGGTCTGTCATCCATAGTGAGATTCTTGCTGTGGTAAGCCTTTAGTTATAGCATGAAGCGGACAAACCGGTCAATGAGGCTCACATTCCCAGACCACCCTTAACAACGTTGTCCATGCAGGTAACTTAAGACATGTTGGTATCATCCATGATTCTACTGTGTTTCAGTGTCAAGGAACAGGATAAATTCAACAGAAACAAGGCCATCACCTGTGTGGCTTGCCACCCCACGGACTACTGTATAGCTTCTGGCTTAGAGAATGGGAAGATCATTTTGTGGTATGTGTTTCTGTTGTTGTGTTATTGTGATCGAGATCATTCTGTGGTATTTGTTTTTGTGATATTGTGATTGATATTATTTTGTGGTATTTGTTTCTGTTGTTGTGATATTGTAATGGAGATCATTTTTTTGGTATGTTTTTGTTGTTTTGATATTGTAATGGAGATCATTTTGTGGTATGTTTTTGTTGTTGTTGTGATATTGTAACGGAGATCATTTTGTGGTATGTTTTTGTTGTTGTTGTGATATTGTAACGGAGATCATTTTGTGGTATGTTTTTGTTTTTGTTGTGATATTGTAACGGAAATCATTTTAAGGTACGTGTTTTTGTTTTTGTGATACTGTTTTTGCTTATGTTTTTTATATGATGATGTGCACACGAAAATCATAATAATATGTTTAAAAAAAATGTACTGAAGCAGAAAACTGATTACTTGTTTCAGAAGTAAACAATCTTCCTCTGTGGGCATGTCAACAAAAGGAGCACGTTATGATAACCGTGGAAAGTTAGACTGTAGAGAAGCGTAGCAAGACCAAGATTGAAGATGTTGCACAGTTTTGTCTCATAGCGTGGAAGAGCATGTCTGTCACAAATGATTGACAGTGTTATGAAGTCAAGGCTGTGGGCAATCATGATTATATTCACCACTTGGGGTTGACTAGAAGCAGATGCTTAAATAAGTTTGATATTACATTCGTGTGTAAGAAAACAAGTAAGATCAAGTTAAAGGATGATTTGTTATTATGTTTTAAAAACCTTATGATAATGCGATTTCAGGTTAAACATATAACAGTGTGATTTTAGGTTAAACATATTATAATGTGATGTTAGGTTATACATAGTGTGATGTTAGGTTAAACATATTATAATGTGATGTTAGGCTATACATAGTGTGATGTCAAGTTATACATAGTGTGATGTCAGTTTAAACATTTGTTCATTTCAGGCGGAGTTTTTTTGGGGACAGTCATGTTGTGACCTCTGTTTTTCACTGGCACGCACTTCCTGTCATGTGTCTGGATTTTACCCCAAATGGTAAGTTGTCAACATGAATATGTGGCTGTACAGTTAGGAAATGGAGGCCCTACAGTTATAGAAATAAGGTTGAAGGGGAGTTTGTCAGAGACAGTTTATTATATTTGTATTAATGTTGTGTGGATAGGTGTCAAGATAAACCCTGTTTCCAGCACTGTTGTAGGAAGTGAGATATCATAATTCATCGTCATGATAGGTGGTGATGAAGGGACTTGTTCTCATTCTCATCTCATTTTCTTTCTTTTGCCTTTATTACAAGCATTAAACAATGGAGTAGTGCAAACCGTATGCAAGTAAACATTAATAAAACCAAATCTATACTAATAATGACTAGACAAAAACTATCCAGTTTAAATTCACAGAAAGCACTTAAACTCTACATTGGGAGGGCTCAAAATCCAGACATATATAGACTATTGCTCTACAATATGCTATGGCTGTTCCAATTCCGTTATCAAGCGGCTGACGTTACTGCAAAAGCTCGCAATCCGCTTAATAAATAAAAATCCTAGGACAGTGTGTTCTGAAACATATAAGGGTATTATGCTACTGCCGCTTCGTGAACGTCTACTTTACAATAAGGCAAATTTACTCACAAAATATAAACCGACAAAGCTCCATGTTACTTATGTACGTTGTTTAATTTTAATGGAAGACATTGTAAACGACCAAACATGTTACACATCTCTAAAGCTAGGATAGACCTTGACAAAACAAGTTTGGCGTACTCCACAACTTAATTGTGGAAATATCTTCCACAACAAATCAAAAAGACAACTAGTCCCTATTCATATAATCGGAAACTGTTCAAATATTATATGAGCACAGATAACATGCCCCCATAAAAGATATACAATATTTTAGAAATGGCTCAAATTTTCCATAGGTTTATTGAAATTTGAAACTACTACTGTCTACGGTAGTTAGAAATGTGCACATTCCAGTGCTTGTATTGAATATTTTTGATTCTATTGATAATATTTACTCTTACTTGATGTAAGAACTGAGGGAGACCTTGAAGTGCAGAATGTTAGACAGGCCTGCGTGCCCAATTTTCAACCCTTTAAAAATAGATTTTGTTCGTTCATTCGTTCCTTGATGCAGAACAAAGCCAGGTGCAAAATTAGGAGTTATGTATGTTATAATAACACATTTCACACACTGACTGTTGTACATAGGTTACTATTGTACATAGGTTACTGTTGTACATAGGTGACAGTTGTACATAGGTTACTATTGTACATAGGTGACAGTTGTACATAGGTTACTATTGTACATAGGTGACAGTTGTACATAGGTTACCATTGTATATAAGTGACAGTTGTACATTGATTACAGTTGTACATTGATGACCGTCGCACATTGATGAGCATAGTACATAGGTGAAACTTAATGGAAACTTGTGAGTAGGAACCAAACACATCCTACTTTTCATTGATCCTGGTATAGCTACTTTGATGCTTATACGAGTGACAAAGCACTTGATTATGATGATGTGACTGGGTAGGTCAGATTTGATACTTGCAGTGTGTTATATGAAGTTTGTGCTGCATGTACTAACTGGCGTACACTCGTACAACCTCTCTAACATGCTAGGTGGGCACCCGTGCTCCACCATACCATCGCAGACTTGGCTTTTACATTACTGAATGAATGATGCCTAACTGCTGATACACTTGAGCCAAAACACAGCTAAAGTTATTCTCTAACAGAACATGTACAGTTTCACAACATTGCCAGACAGCAAACCAAGAACAGAACAGTTGTTACTCTGTAATCTGTATCTTCTTTAAGACACTTTTTCCTGACATCCATACAAGCACTGTCTACTTCTACATCTGTTTCTTTAGGACACTTATTTCTGACATCCATACAAGCACTGTCTACTTCTACATCTGTTTCTTTAATCACAATCACTGACACTTGCAGTTTAACTGCTATATACGTATCATTTGACGTATATTCAGTGTTACATCTCCATTGCTCAGCCTCTAGTTTATAACTGACGACAAACTTAGTCCCCACCTTTTTTTTTAATCTCTTCACCTTTGGGTATTCCTTGCCACACATATCCAGTCTGCCTGGATTGTTATAACATTGGGCTACAACTGCAAACCAGGTCATCACATCCTGGTGACTGCTGTCTGTGTCTGTTACATACCTTCCAAGGGTGAGGACCTTAGGGAGCATGGGTAACTCTCAAGATGGATTCACAACTGTGATATAGATTGTTGAGGATAGGAATAAGGTAAATGTTGACAGTCATGCCAAGAAAATATATATTTGATCTAACTGCCATTTTTGCCTTGGCAGGATCCAGTTTACTGAGTGGTGGCCATGAATGTGTGCTGGTCAGGTGGCAGACAGAGCATCAGAACCTGCGGGACTTCAAGCCACGCATGGGAGCACCCATCACGCATGTCTTGAGTTCACCAGATGGAACTTTGTATGCAACCAAACATGCAGACAATGGTAGGTTTACTGTGAAACTTGGAAACTATGGTATTTGTCAAAGCTTGTGTCTATCCAGATTTTGTATGTGGTATTTGTCAGAGTGAGACTACAGACATATGTCATTGTTGGATTGCAGATAAGGTAACATGTTTAACTGCCCTAGCAAGATTACATAGACTGATATGTGTCACTGTAAAAGTCATGCAACATACAAAAATTACCTATGGCACTGTCAACTTCAGACTATAGCCACACTGATGTGTTACTATCAGCCATACCATATAACCAGAGGCAGAGATGTGTCACTTACACTTGGTCTAGGGAACCTAATTAGTGCTCTTTACTCGCACTGGACACGGATCACATTTGTGTATACTTCACCTAAATGGACAATCTTTATACACACTTGATGGACATGGGGATCTAATGTCCATACCTCACTCATTTTGGATACTGTTTTCCACAGGACAGCATCATAGGACTTGAGATACCCTGTGTTAGCACTTTGCACACATGGCTTGCACTGTATCCCCCATACACGCATGCACACACACACAGACACACAGAGAAAGAGAGAGGGAGAGAGCAGATTCTACACCAACATTTAGTGATGATGAAAAGCACTGGCGGCAACAACTGCCCCTCTCAATGGCTGAACATTAAAGGTCACATCATAGCACAGTAGACATGCTGTGGCAGGGAGAGGACCTATGAAACATTCACAGATAACAGGTTACAGAATCATGTGGTCAAGTGGCTAGATGCCTTCTTTTCCTCCTCAGATAAAAAATAAATATTATCAAGTAGACATTTTAAAGGGCTGTGTCATCCTCAGAGCCTGATTGGTTGAAAAAGTCCTAGAACTAGGGAAGGTAAACTCAAAACCTGTATCTTTGCAAGCAAGCACACTTACCATTGTTTGTGACGGCGTCAGTGCCACCATGTGAGGTGCCTATTGCGGTGATGGGGAAAGGTGTGACTCTATTGTTGGATATAGGGCTGAAACTTTTCCCTGCCACATTTGAGATCAGCACACAAAGAAATGATCAGTATTTTGACACTTGTGTAGCTGTTGAGGCATAAATGGCTTCAGCTAGAGATCTGTTCATTGTGATGTATTGCTGGTCCTTGCTATGCACTGACTCTTGTGCTATTGATGCTCATTGGATATGAAGCTTATGAGAATAGAAGTGACCCTGTTCTAAAGGTTACAGAGATATCACAGGTTCACTGAAACAAGTAGCTGCATATCTTCTATAATGATGTCCTCTCTTTGTTTCAGTGATCCAACTACTGGACATCAATCTGCATGTCCAGCAAGTGCTCCGGGGTCTCACTCAAACTGTGTTTGGTCCAGGTGCCAACGACAAGAAGAACCCAATTCCCAGTGGGTTACAGTTTGACCCTCGTTCAAGGACGCTTGTCACCAACGGCTTACCTGGCCATCTACAGTTTTATTCTCTGAGTCTCAGCCGGCAGCTGTTTAATGTAAGTATGTGCAGAACAAGATTTCTGAGTTTGAACTGCAGAAAAACAAGTAATAAGAAAGAAAGTATGCCCCACTAAATGCAACATCAGAGTAAATTGGACACCACTCATGCAAGTTGATATGTTCAAGTACTCTCATACAGCACTAACAGCTGATGGAAGAATTTATTAAAGAGGCTCATGCAAAGGTGGCATTTCACAAAATGACGAGTATTGTATGCAATCCTAATTTGTTACTTGGGGTGAGGAGGAGAGTTCTGAAAAGCTATATAATTTCTATTCCTCTTTTAGGAAAGAGGATCTTGCAGCTAACCCATTAGTGAACAATGTTGGGCAAGCAACAGAGAGAAGTTCGTGGACCGATGATGAGAACACCATAGACAGATAAAAAGAGCAGTGAAGATGAAAGAAAAGAAACTGACACCCGAAGAGAACTGATTGCCCACATTAGAATGAGACAGTCTGCAGTCTTAATTGCCGTACCATAATAAGAAAACGGGAGTACATCCTGCCACTTGGAAAGCTAGAGGGAGACGGAAAGAGAAGGTGCCGGATGGTATGACATCATGGCATGGAAGATCATCTGTGTCATAGATGATTGAAAGCACACAGGACAGGACTAGACATGACTACTAATGGCACTTGGTGTGGGCTGTAGGAAGGAAATAGTACAGAAACACAGGCAATTAACACATGAGAGGTGGCACTGAAGATGTTGACATGGGGTTATTGATTGCTCAATCAGTTGTCCTCCTGGGCTGCTGACCAGGTCTGAGACTGGCAATAACTATAATTAAAACAATGTTGTTGTTGCAGGGAACACTTCTAAATGCTGTTTTTAGCAAATGTAGTAATTCCCAGTAATTCTTTAGGCTATGTTTTTCATAAACAAGCTACTGTAGTGAGCTCCCCTGGGATGGGTGGCACTACGCCGGGTTTGGGGCTTCTTGTAGTGATAAGGTTGAGAACACAGTTTAAAGAAAAAAACTATGACCTAAATCATTCTAACATTTGTTTCTGGCAGCTGGACATTGTTGGGCAGAATTACATTTCCACAGAAAGCATGGACAAACCCAAGGCTGTCACAGAGGTCACCTGTACGGCCATCAGTGACAGTGGGCACTGGCTGGCCACATTTGAGACCTGGAATGATGGTTTCTTCAGCCCCGAACTTAGACTCAAGTTCTGGTGTTACAGCTCTGAGGCTCACACGTAAGTATCCCTCAGTTCATTCACACAGGAAGTATGGTTAACTAGTGAAGCAGTAACAGGACAAAAATTAGAAAAAATCAGCAATAAAGTCAATGATGTGAGAGGGCACTACCTAGATTAAGGTGTTGAGAATATAAAATTGCAATGTTGCCATTAAACAAGACCTCGTCGCTACACAAGGATATCGTCTGCGAACGACGTTATTCTGTCCGGACTTACTCTCTAAGCACTGTTGACTTTAATGAAGTGTACACATTAAAAAGAGCAGAAGACAGTGGTGATTCCTGGGGCAAACCCATTAAGACGCAATGAGGTTTCTATACCCAAGTACCACATCTTTTGACACTTCTTCAGAAGAGCGCTGCAGTGATCCACTTGACCCATTTCGTCTCTGGGTGCATATCAATCATCAGTCTGATGAGCATGTTGTATTGAGCAATGTTGTACATGTCTTCTTTGTCAGTTGTGTCTGCTGAAGTTTCCATTCCTGCTTGAAGGCCCTGGTACATGTCGTAAGCAAATACTGCAGCATTGCACCAAGTATTCTGCCCGGGTGGTACCCACCTAGTGTAGGTGCCAAAAGACCACTTGACTCTGATGTTTGGGTCAACTTTCTGGCCATGATTTTCTCCATGAGTTTTCCTACAGTGTTCTGAAGTAGGATGATTCTATAGCCATTAACTTTTTCATGGTCTTTCCTGCGCTTAGGAACAGGGTCTGGGGCAGCTGTGAAGCCAGTCATCGGGGAAAATTCCACTTTTAATGCTCTGTCTTCAGTATATCTCTGACGTTTGCAACACAGATGTACACTGTGTCATCTTCTCCACCCATTTCAGCGATGTGCATGTTTTGGACTACTTGATTCATCTGCTTCCTCTCGTCTCTTGTCTTATTGGTTTGCTGGAGAAATCTGTACAGGAGTAGCTCACCTTTATCTGCGTCAGATCTTAAGATCACCCTACTATCCATCTTTAATTTGGGCATATTACACGATTGTGCCATCATTCGGATGAGGATCACCTGTGGAGAGGTCACAGAAACACCCAGTTCAACGGCTAGGTTATTTAAAGACCCCACGCAACAGCCAGGGTGAGGCATCAAAATAATGAACAATTCATCCCACCTGGTGACAGAGAATGGAAATGATGTTCTGCTGTAAACATTTGTTGTATCTAATAGCAACATAGTGAAATACCATGCATGTCATCAAAGACAACATTGTGAACCACAATGCATGTCATCAAAAATGACATTGTGAACTACCATGCATGTCACCAAAGACGACATTGTGAACTACCATGCATGTCACCAAAGACGACATTGTGAACTACCATGCATGTAATCAAAGATGACATTGTGAACTACCATGCATGTCATCAAAGACGACATTGTGAACTACCATGCATGTAATCAGAGACGACATTGTGAACTACCATGCATGTCATCAAAGACAACATTGTACAATTAGGCTGTGCAGCATCTAGCAGATCACAAAGAAGTATACAAAGGGTTTAATGTGAATTAGACTTTTTATAATGGGACAGAGGGCAGCACTCGGGGCCTATAACTGCTCTAGTGTTTGTTCTTCACCACTGTTGAATGTCTCCTACAGTTACAGCCCTCACTGTCGGTTGTTTTCAGCATTATTTCTTCTAGTGAACATTCTGTTACTGCAATCACTATTCTAACATCTGATGACACCACCTTTATTTCTTCTGCCTGAGGTTTGCCAGTATTACAGTCACCCATTACCAGTTGTTCTATCTTGCAGATACTCCCTCAACACTACAGTATCACAATCACCCATTACCAGTTGTTCTATCTCGCAGATACTCCCTGAACACTACAGAATCACAATCACCCATTACCAGTTCTATCTTGCAGATACTCCCTGAACACTACAGTATCACAGTCACCCATTATCAGTTCTATATTGCAGATACTCCCTGAACACTACAGTATCACAGTCACCCATTACCAGTTCTATCTTGCAGATACTCCCTGAACACTAGAGTATCACAGTCACCCATTACCAGTTCTATCTTGCAGATACTCCCTGAACACTACAGTATCACAGTCACCCATTACCAGTTCTATATTGCAGATACTCCCTGAACACTACAGTATCACAGTCACCCATTACCAGTTCTATCTTGCAGATACTCCCTGAACACTACAGTATCACAATCACCCATTACCAGTTCTATATTGCAGATACTCCCTGAACACTACAGTATCACAGTCACTCATTATCAGTTCTATCTTGCAGATACTCCCTCAACACTACAGTATCACAGTCACCCATTATCAGTTCTATCTTGCAGATACTCCCTGAACACTACAGTATCACAGTCACCCATTATCAGTTCTATCTTGCAGATACTCCCTCAACACTACAGTATCACAGTCACCCATTATATATTGTTTCACCTTGCAGATACTCCCTGAATACTACAGTGGAGTTCCCCCACGACGACAAGATAACAAGTATGTTGTTCCGGCCAGAACACCAAGGAGAACATGCAGTGATCACTCCAACACTGGCCACTGTTGGGGCTGACCTCTGTTTTAAGCTGTGGACTTTAGTTGATGATTCCAACATTTATAGTGAGTATTGTTGACATGGGTAGAGGCACTGGGGACTACAACCTGACAGGTTTTCATTCTAGAGGGATTAGGTGCGAAAATGAATTAGGATTAAACTTCTTCATGTTCACCATCGTTAAACTGGTGAAAAGTTGTGATTGTTCATCCACTTCTGGACTTCTGGTCTTTTCCAGAAATTGAGTTTTGCTTGCACATCCGTTTTACAGATCTAGCTTATTTGTATGCAGGTTGTTGATTCAGTGCCTCTCAGACTTTGAATGAAACACTTAACTAGTCGACACTTACAACATACTTGTTAGTGAGGCAGTATGTCGAATCTTGTTTTTTCCTTCACAATACGGCCTGGAACCCTCATGGGAAGGGAGATAATATTTGACACTGTTCCCGTTGAAAAGATAAGGGCTTTTGGACAATTTGAGCAACATTGGTAATGTAAGAAGTGAATCGTGACCGCCCAGACTCATGGGCATGGCACATGACGATGTCCACAGCAGATATTGGCACTGGCATGTGAAGTATGAGGCTTTCACACATTCTAGACCATAAGTCATTTGGCATGGCAAATACAAGAGACACCTTGTGCCCTTATTTCACTCTTACAAGACAACACCACATATTCCTACTTCATTGATCCAAGACACCTCATATTTACGCTTCATTCATACAAGACACATTATATTTACACTTCATTCACACAAGAAACACCATGTATCCACACATCATTCATAAAAGAAATCCCTTATATAAACACTTTACTCACACAAGAGACACCATATTCTCACACTTGAGACACTATATTTTTACTTCACTCAAACAAGAGACACCATGTATCAATTCACACTTGACTCATATAAGAGACACCAATGTTCACTTTCCTAGGACACATTTGACACCAACACTAGACCTAACAATCACCACTGCACTCTCTGATGCATGTCAGTCACTCACTGGTAGATTGGGTGTCTGATCCCAAATCAGAACGGATGTAGTTAGTTAGTTAGTTGGGATATGATCATTGCACTCCGGACATGTCCATAGGTGCTCAGATCCTTCCCTCAGTATAAACCCCAGCGTCCTGTGTCCTGTGACTTGTAGTGCCACTTCTTTGTTGACTGATAAGTCTTTTTTTTATATGTAAGTACGGATGTAGTATTATCACTGTGTTGAATCATAGCCCATTATTTTCTACCTGTTTGCTCTAAGAATCACGCACACACACACACACTTGTCAATGTTTCAGGAAGCAACGCCAGATGGAGCTGTGATTCTGTTGGCTTTTATCGCAGACTCAATGCTGGATGTGCAGATTTCTCAACAGATGCCTCAACACTGGCGGTTGGGTTTGAACACCTGTTAACCATCTGGGACCCAGACAATAATGTTGTCCGCACCACATTATCCAACTCTTTACCTGGCAAGGAGATGATTACGTGAGTAGGGATTTCAGTTTCTTACACATAGTGGCATGAGTAAACATTTTTCACAGCTTTATGTGAAAGGTGGTTGCTTCCAGTCCACTGTGGCGGATAGGCAGGCTGACAGGTAATGTTGGCAAGTTTTGGGCTTCTAGCTACTGTCGACACTGGGCTGCCTTTTTATTTGAATTCAGGTTTCTTTGTGGTCTCATATCAGCCAAACACCAGTGTATCACATTTAGGAAAACAAAAATATCAGACATAGAATTGACAAACACACACATGATGTCAATCATAGCTTCCTGTTTTGGTTCCTGGGCTTCAATGTGGAGGGGAAGAACAAAAGAATAGACTCAACTGCCTCTCTGACAAGCATATCATAAGAGTTATGAGTTAGATTGTCTTCACAGCACTCCGGACACATCCATATGCACTCAGATTCCCCTCTCAACAAATTCATCTGCGTCGCGCAGTTAATAGTACCAGTCCTATGTTGGTTGACAAGACTTTGTATGCGTCCAGTGTGCTTCTCATGCTTGGCTGATCTTTACTCCGACTTCGCTTATTCTTAGCAGTGATGTGGACAAAATCGCTTCTTAAATCCTCAGGACATCTTATCTCTCTGAGGGCAATGACAATGTCTGCGTGATCCATGGGGTAGCCATCTTTAATTAACGCAGCACCTGCCAGTCTATCAGCTCTCTCATTACCAACAACGTCTGCATGCCCTAAGATGAATATGAAAGTAACTGAAACAACTCAAAACACTGTCTGCGTAACCAGTCTGCCTTGACCCGCTGGATCATGCTCAAAGAATCACACACACGCGGGAATAGTCCTGTGATCCCAGCCACATGAAAGCCTGTGTCAATGCCATCACCTCCATCGTCATGCTGCTGGTAGTCATGGAGAAGGCACCGCTGGCTTCCTTAACTGTTCTGCCTGAAGAGTGATCTGTAAATGCCCATGCACTCTAATGTACTCGTCATAAGATTAGACTAATTAGGGGTTGAAGTCAGAGTGCATTGGCCTAAGAGCCAACAGTCTGCATACTTCCAAGCCAGATCTATAAAACGGATGTGCATGCAAAACTCATTTTCTGGAAAATACTACAGTCCAGAAGTGGACAAACAACCAGACATTTCTGCTGAAGTTTACAGCTGGTGAATGCCAAGAAGGTGTCAACCGTAAATTTTAAATAATTTATCCATTGTATTTATAAATGGTGAATATAGAAAACATGTGTAGATTATTGTGTTAACTTTCATAAATACAGATATGAGTAAAGAACCAGAGACAGACAAATAAATGAATGCAGTGCAGACAAAAATAATCTGTTTTTGTGGTAACTAAGAGAAACATCTCAGCTGATGTTCACTGGTATGCCTGATCTGACATGTTCTTGTTTCAACCATTGCAGCAATGTCAAGTTTGGTAGCCATCAGTGTTGTCATCATTTGGTTGTGACAACCAGACAGACTTTGCTGGCTTGGGATCTCTACACTTTAACTAGTAAGAGTGTTGTTGGTTTTAGCAGTTCTGGTAGTCTGTTGTATGATTGCTGTTTCTGTTTCTAGTCATTAGTAAGACTGTTGTTTGCTGTAGTAGTCTGTTGTAAGATTGTTGTTTATTCTAGCTGTGTTTTTTAATAGGATTGTTGTTTATTCTAGTAGTCTGTTGCATGATTGTTGTTTATTCTAGTAGTCTGTTGCATGATTGTTGTTTATTCTAGTAGTCTGTTGCATGATTGTTGTTTATTCTAGTAGTCTGTTGCATGATTGTTGTTTATTCTAGTAGTCTGTTGCATGATTGTTGTTTATTCTAGTAGTCTGTTCCATGATTGTTGTTTATTCTAGTAGTCTGTTCCATGATTGTTGTTTATTCTAGTAGTCTGTTCCATGATTGTTGTTTGTTCTAGTAGTCTGTTCCACGATTGTTGTTTGTTCTAGTAGTCTGTTCCACGATTGTTGTTTATTCTAGTAGTCTGTTGCAAGATTGTTGTTTGTTCTAGTAGTCTGTTCCATGATTGTTGTTTGTTCTAGTAGTCTGTTCCATGATTGTTGTTTGTTCTAGTAGTCTGTTCCACGATTGTTGTTTATTCTAGTAGTCTGTTGCAAGATTGTTGTTTATTCTAGTAGTCTGTTCCATGATTGTTGTTTGTTCTAGTAGTCTGTTGCATGATTGTTGTTTATTCTAGTAGTCTGTTCCATGATTGTTGTTTGTTCTAGTAGTCTGTTCCATGATTGTTGTTTATTTCAGTAGTCTGTTCCATGATTGTTGTTTGTTCTAGTAGTCTGTTCCATGATTGTTGTTTATTCTAGTAGTCTGTTCCATGATTGTTGTTTGTTCTAGTAGTCTGTTCCACGATTGTTGTTTGTTCTAGTAGTCTGTTGCATGATTGTTGTTTATTCTAGTAGTCTGTTCCATGATTGTTGTTTGTTCTAGTAGTCTGTTGCATGATTGTTGTTTATTCTAGTAGTCTGTTGCATGATTGTTGTTTATTCTAGTAGTCTGTTGCATGATTGTTGTTTATTCTAGTAGTCTGTTGCATGATTGTTGTTTATTCTAGTAGTCTGTTGCATGATTGTTGTTTGTTCTAGTAGTCTGTTCCATGATTGTTGTTTGTTCTAGTAGTCTGTTGCATTATTGTTGTTTGTTCTAGTATTCTGTTCCATGATTGTTGTTTGTTCTAGTAGTCTGTTCCATGATTGTTGTTTGTTCTAGTAGTCTGTTCCATGATTGTTGTTTGTTCTAGTAGTCTGTTCCATGATTGTTGTTTATTCTAGTAGTCTGTTCCATGATTGTTGTTTGTTCTAGTAGTCTGTTCCATGATTGTTGTTTATTCTAGTAGTCTGTTCCATGATTGTTGTTTATTCTAGTAGTCTGTTCCATGATTGTTGTTTATTCTAGTAGTCTGTTCCATGATTGTTGTTTATTCTAGTAGTCTGTTTCCATGATTGTTGTTTTATTCTAGTAGTCTGTTGTTCCATGATTGTTGTTTATTCTAGTAGTCTGTTCCATGATTGTTGTTTATTCTAGTAGTCTGTTCCATGATTGTTGTTTGTTTGTTTATTCTAGTAGTCTGTTCCATGATTGTTGTTTATTCTAGTAGTCTGTTCTAGTAGTCATGATTGTTGTTTATTCTAGTAGTCTGTTCCATGATTGTTGTTTATTCTAGTAGTCTGTTCCATGATTGTTGTTTTGTTTATTCTAGTAGTCTGTTCCATGATTGTTGTTTTGTTCTAGTAGTCTGTTCCATGATTGTTGTTTGATTCTAGTAGTCTGTTCCATGATTGTTGTTTATTCTAGTAGTCTGTTCCATGATTGTTGTTTATTCTAGTAGTAGTCTGTTCTAGTAGTGATTGATTGTTGTTTATTCTAGTAGTCTGTTCCACGATAGTAGTCTGTTCCATGATTGTTGTTTATTCTAGTAGTCTGTTGCATGATGTTTGTTCTAGTGATTTGTTTTTTCTAGTAGTCTGTTGCATGATTGTTGTTTGTTGTTTATTCTAGTAGTCTGTTGCATGATTGTTTGTTCTATTAGTCTGTTTCATGATTGTTGTTTATTCTAGTAGTCTGTTCCATGATTGTTGTTTATTCTAGTAGTCTGTTCCATGATTGTTGTTTATTCTAGTAGTCTGTTCCATGATTGTTGTTTATTCTAGTAGTCTGTTCCATGATTGTTGTTTATTCTAGTAGTCTGTTCCATGATTGTTGTTTGTTCTAGTAGTCTGTTCCATGATTGTTGTTTATTCTGTCTAGTAGTCTGTTGTTTATTCCTGTTCCATGATTGTTGTTTATTCTAGTAGTCTGTTCTGTTCCAGTAGTCTGTTTGTTGTTTATTCTCTAGTAGTCTGTTGTTGTTTGTTCTAGTAGTCTGTTCCACGATTGTTGTTTATTCTAGTAGTCTGTTCCATGATTGTTGTTTATTCTAGTAGTCTGTTCCATGATTGTTGTTTATTCTAGTAGTCTGTTGCATGATTGTTGTGATTGTGTTGTTTAGTCTGTTCCATGATTGTTGTTTATTCTAGTAGTCTGTTGCATGATTGTTGTTTATTCTAGTAGTCTGTTGCATGATTGTTGTTTATTCTAGTAGTCTGTTGCATGATTGTTGTTTATTCTAGTAGTCTGTTGCATGATTGTTGTTTGTTCTAGTAGTCTGTTCCATGATTGTTGTTTATTCTAGTAGTCTGTTCCATGATTGTTGTTTGTTCTAGTAGTCTGTTCCATGATTGTTGTTTATTCTAGTAGTCTGTTCCATGATTGTTGTTTATTCTAGTAGTCTGATTGTTTGTTTATTCTAGAGTTGTTGTTGATTGTTGTTTATTCTAGTAGTCTGTTCCATGATTGTTGTTTATTCTAGTAGTCTGTTCCATGATTGTTGTTTATTCTAGTAGTCTGTTCCACGATTGTTGTTTATTCTAGTAGTCTGTTCCATGATTGTTGTTTATTCTAGTAGTCTGTTGCATGATTGTTGTTTATTCTAGTAGTCTGTTGCATGATTGTTGTTTATTCTAGTAGTCTGTTCCATGATTGTTGTTTAATAGTCTGTTGCAGGATTGTTGTTCTAGTTCTAATAGTCTGTTGTCTAGTATTGTTGCCATGATGTTTGTTCTAGTAGTCTGTTGTCGGATTGTTGTTTGTTCTAGTAGTCTGTTGTTGGTTAATTCTAGTAGTCCTGGTTTGCATTGTTGTTTGTTCTAATAGTCTGTTGCTAGGATTGTTGTTTGTTCTAATAGTCTGTTGCAGGATTGTTGTTTGTTCTAATAGTCTGTTGCAATAATCTCTTTGTTGTTTTTGTTCTAATAGTCTGTTGCATAGATTTGTTGTTTTTTTCTAATAGTCTGTTCCAGTCGAGGTTTGTTGTTTGTTGGTTCGGATTGTTAGTTGTTGCAGGATTGTTGTTTGTTCTAATAGTCTGTTGCAAGATTGTTGTTTGTTCTAATAGTCTGTTGCAAGATTGTTGTTTGTTCTAATAGTCTGTTGCAAGATTGTTGTTTGTTCTAATAGTCTGTTGCAAGATGTGTTGTTCTAATAGTTTGCAAGATTGTTGTTAGTCTGTTGCAGGATTGTTGTTTGTTCTAATAGTCTGTTGTCGGATTGTTGTTTGTTCTAATAGTCTGTTGCAGGATTGTTGTTTGTTCTAATAGTCTGTTGTCGGATTGTTGTTTGTTCTAATAGTCTGTTGCAGGATTGTTGTTTGCTCTGGCAGTCTTTTGTAGGAATGTTGTTTGTTCTAGTAGTCGTATGATTGTTATTTGTTCTCCCCATAGTCTGTTGTAAGACTGTTGTCAGTTCTAGTAATCTGTTGTCAGATTGCTATTTGTTTCGTAGTCTATTGAAGAATTGTTATTTGTCCTAGTCGTCTTCTTGAGATTGTTATTTGTCCTTGGAGCTAAAATGTTGAACATAGATACTTGTTCTCATGAGTTCCTAGATACTTGTTCTTATGAGTTCCTAGATACTTGTTCTCATGAGTTCCTAGATACTTGTTCTTATGAGTTCCTAGATACTTGTTCTCATGAGTTCCTAGATACTTGTTCTCATGAGTTCCTAGATACTTGTTTTCATGAGTTCCTAGATACTTGTTCTCACGAGTTCCTTTAACCCCTTATGGAAGTTGTGCTTTTTTGATAATAAACATTAACATCCTTGCAACTTACTAACAACAGATCTGTCACAACACATTATTTTACTCCCAAGCACATTGCAGTCATTAATCTGTGGTCTTAGTTATACCCACAAGTGTATTATAATAATTAATCTGGCTACAGTTTTTCACACAAGTAGATTACAGTCATTAATCTGTGGCCACACTTACATTATAGTCATTAATCTGTGGTCACAGTTTATTGCACACACATTAGTCATTTATTTGTGGTCACAGTTTATTGCACACACTTACATTATAGTCATTAATCTTTGGTCACAGTTTATTGCACACTTACATTACAGTCATTAATCTGTGGTCACAATTTATTGCACACACTTACATTACAGTCATTAATCTGTGGTCACAGTTTATTACACACACTTACAGTAGAAGGACGACTGGACAACTGACACCATCACTTTCTGAGCAGTGTTTGGGAAGAAAAGGGCAGTAGAAGGATGACTGGACAGTTGACACCATCACTTTCTGAGCAGTGTTTGGGAAGAAAAGGGCAGTAGAAGGATGACTGGACAGTTGACACCATCAGGTCAAGTCCTGAAGTTAGTCTGTGAAGACTAACCATCCGTATCTCACAGCCAGTATCTGCCATGTGGTTGTCTACCTCTGAAAAGAGGGGGGCTGGATAGTTGACTTCTTCTATTTCTGTGTGTTCACCGGCTGTAAACTCTGGTGACTGTGGTGGCTATTTATGATTCTTTGTCCACTTTTGCACTTTGATCTTGTTCCAGAAGTTGTGATTTGCATGCACATCTATTTTACAAGTCTTGTTTATTTGTATGCAGACTGTTGGTTTTGTATAGTATTGGCAAGTGCACTCTTGACTTTGAAGAAAGCCTTAATTAGATGCCTGTTATGACTTGTTTGTTAGAGCGACAGTGGGTCTGTCTGATGACTCCCCCCCCCCCCCCCCACCCCCCTCCTTTTCTGAACCTGGAACCCAGACGTGGGAACTAGTTAACAAAAATGGATATTTAACAGCCTGACATGGCAAAGAATATGACATTGTGTGGATTGATTAACATCACTAGCAGAGGAAAGTGCTTATAGTGAGTATTGTTTTTGGTTCATTACCCATGATTTCAACAAATCTGCTTTCAGTTCAGTGGACTATCAGTATCCAGGCTACCTTGTTAGTAAGGGATCCAGCCTCAGATCTCATGCTGTTGGTCTCGTCAAACAGGAAAGGTAGGAAAATCAGTTCTCTGACATTTGACAAGCGGTGATATTTAAATTCTAGAATTTTCATTGACACAGTTCAGTTCTTTTTGGTTTTGTCCATCTGTCTGTCTATATCCTCTTCTTGTCATTATTGACACAAGACATATTCACATCGTATGTCATCTCCTTTTCTGCTGGTTTATAGTGTTTCTGCCAGACTGCCCATCGTATAGCATGTCAGTTAACATTTCTCCTTCTGTCACCCACATCTCCTTCTGTCACCCACATCTCCTTCTGTCACCCACATCTCCTTCTGTCACCCACATCTCCTCCTGTCACCCACATCTCCGTCTGTCACCCACATCTCCTTCTGTCACCCACATCTCCTTCTGTCACCGACATCTCCTCCTGTCACCCACATCTCCTGCTGTCACCCACATCTCCTTCTGTCACCCACATCTCCTACCATATGTATTAGATCATGAATTGTAAGAAATGTTGTGTGCTTGGTTAGATCAGCACTTGGGAGGAATGCTGTGTTTGTGGGGAAAGGATTGCTTTTGTGTGTCTGGGAGTGTTGTATGTAAGGATTGCTCTGTATGTGTAGGAGGGCTGTGTATGTATGTTTGTGAGGAATATTTTGTTAAATCAGAAGTTAAGAGTAGAGCTGTGTGTTTGAGGAGTATTATATGAGATATGGAAGTGTTATGTGTATGAGAAATGCTTTGCTAGGTCAGGAATTGTGAGGAGAGCTACGTGATTTAAGAGTTATGTGAGATATGGAAGTGCTGTGTGAGATATACAAGTGTAATGTGAGATATGGAAGTTTTGCCAGAGTGTCATCTATGAAGAAACTCAGGTAAATCATCTGTACACTTAATACAGCTCTGTTCATAGCCATTTTTTTTTCAAAACCAATCTTTTAGTAAGCATCTTCAGACCCACAAGCCCCAACATGGTTTATGAGCACGAGGCGATGAGCTCCAGTGACATCCTTGATGCTGTCTTTGTCCCTGATGGAAGACATGAACAGATTGTTGACCTGTGCTGGCCTGGGAGGTCACAGATCTACGTCTACAATGTTGACCAACAGCTGCTAACCTTAGACCTGCCCAGCGAGCAGATTGTTGATGGCCGGAAGGTAAGATCATTCTTTAATATTTCTATACAATTCTTCAGCCATCTAATTTTATACTGTGGTTGCGTCCAAGAGAAACCCTACAATGAAAGTGGACGAGAGCTTACAGACGCTGGTCTGGACCCCATCCAAGAGAAACCCTACAATGAAAGTGGACGAGAGCTTACAGACGCTGGTCTGGACCCCATCCAAGAGAAACCCTACAATGAAAGTGGACGAGAGCTTACAGACGCTGGTCTAGACCACATCCAAGAGACTAAAAGGATGACACAGACTAGAATGGAACAGAGGACTATGACAGAAAGCCCCTGTGTGATATTTAATGGTACATAAGGATGATGATCATATTCAATGTTTTTAAGCCTTAGATTTTGCCGTTTGTTTACAATATAACTTTGTATCTGTCATTTTGAGATTTAAATAGCTCTTCTTCCTGACCTCCTGTTTATATAGCTCTTCTTTTTGTCCTCCTGTTTATATAGCTCTTCTTTCTGACCTGTTTATATAGCTCTTCTTTCTGACCTGTTTATATAGCTCTTCTTTCTGACCTCCTGTTTATATAGCTCTTCTTTCTGACCTCCTGTTTATATAGCTCTTCTTTCTGACCTCCTGTTTATATAGCTCTTCTTTTTGACCTCCTGTTTATATAGCTCTTCTTTCTGACCTGTTTATATAGCTCTTCTTTCTGACCTGTTTATAAAGCTCTTCTTTCTGACCTCCTGTTTATTTAGCTCTTCTTTTTGACCTCCTGTTTATATAGCTCTTCTTTCTGACCTCCTGTTTATATAGCTCTTCTTTTTGACCTCCTGTTTATATAGCTCTTCTTTCTGACCTCCTGTTTATATAGCTCTTCTTTTTGACCTCCTGTTTATATAGCTCTTCTTTCTGACCTGTTTATATAGCTCTTCTTTCTGAACTGTTTTTTTTTAGCTCTTTTTTCTGACCTCCTGTTTATATAGCTCTTCTTTCTGACCTCCTGTTTATATAGCTCTTCTTTTTGACCTCCTGTTAATATAGCTCTTCTTTTTGACCTCCTGTTTATATAGCTCTTATTTCTGACCTGTTTATATAGCTCTTCTTTTTGACCTCCTGTTTATATAGCTCTTCTTTCTGACCTCCTGTTTATATAGCTCTTCTTTCTGACCTCCTGTTTATATAGCTCTTCTTTCTGACCTGTTTATATAGCTCTTCTTTCTGACCTCCTGTTTATTTAGCTCTTCTTTCTGACCTCCTGTTTATATAGCTCTTCTTTCTGACCTCCTGTTATATAGCTCTTCTTTCTGACCTCCTGTTTATTTAGCTCTTCTTTCTGACCTCCTGTTTATATAGCTCTTCTTTCTGACCTCCTGTTATATAGCTCTTCTTTTTGACCTCCTGTTTATATAGCTCTTCTTTCTGACCTCCTGTTTATATAGCTCTTCTTTTTGACCTGTTTATATAGCTCTTCTTTCTGACCTCCTGTTTATATAGCTCTTCTTTCTGACCTCCTGTTTTTATAGCTCTTCTTTCTTACCTCCTGAAAAGCGGCATTTATGGGGAATAGAGGCCTACCAGAAGTACCAGGTCGTGGCTTCACGGGGTGAAGGGGTTAAAGGTAGTGTGAAACAAATTATGGGTGTCCATTCTGAAGTGAGACCATGTCAGGATGAGTCCTTGTGCCAACCAGCTTTGGCGACTGCAGACTCTGGCGAGCCCTTGTGATGATCGTCTTTGATGACCGCAGCGTCTGGTGAGCCCATGTGATGACCGTCTTTGATGACTGCGGCATCTGGCGAGCCCTCATGATGACCTCCAATCAGTAATGATTGATAAGATCATTGCATCTTTCTGGACTTCTCGTAGAAAGGAAGTCCTGCATTCACCTGGTCACGCTGTTTATTAGGAAACAAACAAAGCTTGCATACGTTTTTCCAGTCTGTTGTGCCATATTGGGATGAGAAAAATAGTGGTCTGTTGTTGCCTTTGAGAGTTACTTTGGTCATTTTGGGTAATAAATGTGAGGCTTGTTTGTTATTAGGTTCGAATTGCCCAGAATTTGCCCCATGGGGCACTCAGCACATTCATGGCAGAGAAGATGGTCAGGGAAGAGGACACCATGGAGACCAAGGTGACAATGGGCCAGACCAACCCAGCAGAGGATTCACTGGCTGCAGTGGTGAGTTGTTTATCTGTCTTGAGCTCTGTCAGTACTGAGACATTGTGTGTACATTCTACTCTAGTGTTTACCTGTCTTGAGCTCTGTCAGTACTGAGACATTGTGTGTACATTCTACTCTAGTGTTTACCTGTCTTGAGCTCTGTCAGTACTGAGACATTGTGTGTACATTCTACTCTAGTGTTTACCTGTCTTGAGCTCTGTCAGTACTGAGACATTGTGTGTACATTCTACTCTAGTGTTTACCTGTCTTGAGCTCTGTCAGTACTGAGACATTGTGTGTACATTCTACTCTAGTGTTTACCTGTCTTGAGCTCTGTCAGTACTGAGACATTGTGTGTACATTCTACTCTAGTGTTTACCTGTCTTGAGCTCTGTCAGTACTGAGACATTGTGTGTACATTCTACTCTAGTGTTTACCTGTCTTGAGCTCTGTCAGTACTGAGACATTGTGTGTACATTCTACTCTAGTGTTTACCTGTCTTGAGCTCTGTCAGTACTGAGACATTGTGTGTACATTCTACTCTAGTGTTTATCTGTCTTGAGCTCTGTCAGTACTGAGACATTGTGTGTACATTCTACTCTAGTGTTTACCTGTCTTGAGCTCTGTCAGTACTGAGACATTGTGTGTACATTCTACTCTAGTGTTTATCTGGACAGATTGATGTCAAACTGCCTACAAGCTGATGGTGATTGCTTCTGCTGTTGCACTCCTCCATCACATGTGAGACCTGCCTGTGTACCCAGCTTCCATCACATGTGAGACCTGCCTGTGTACCCAGCTTGCATCACATGTGAGACCTGCCTGTGTACCCAGCTTCCATCACATGTGAGACTTGCCTGTGTACCCAGCTTCCATCACATGTGAGACCTGCCTGTGTACCCAGCTTCCATCACATGTGAGACCTGCCTGTGTACCCAGCTTCCATCACATGTGAGACCTGCCTGTGTACCCAGCTTCCATCACATGTGAGACCTGCCTGTGTACCCAGCTTCCATCACATGTGAGACCTGCCTGTGTATCCAGCTTCCATCACATGTGAGACCTGCCTGTGTATCAAGCTTCCATCACATGTGAGACCTGCCTGTGTACCCAGCTTCCATCACATGTGAGACCTGCCTGTGTACCCAGCTTCCATCACATGTGAGACCTGCCTGTGTACCCAGCTTCCATCACATGTGAGACCTGCCTGTGTACCCAGCTTCCATCACATGTGAGACTTGCCTGTGTACCCAGCTTCCATCACATGTGAGACCTGCCTGTGTACCCAGCTTCCATCACATGTGAGACCTGCCTGTGTACCCAGCTTCCATCACATGTGAGACTTGCCTGTGTACCCAGCTTCCATCACATGTGAGACTTGCCTGTGTACCCAGCTTCCATCACATGTGAGACTTGCCTGTGTACCCAGCCTCCATCACATGTGAGACCTGTCTGTGTACCCAGCCTCCATCACATGTGAGACCTGCCTGTGTACCCAGCTTCCTTCACATGTGAGACCTGCCTGTGTACCCAGCTTCCATCACATGTGAGACCTGCCTGTGTACCAAGCTTCCATCACATGTGAGACCTGCCTGTGTACCCAGCTTCCATCACATGTGAGACTTGCCTGTGTACCAAGCTTCCATCACATGTGAGACCTGCCTGTGTATCCAGCTTCCATCACATGTGAGACCTGCCTGTGTACCCAGCTTCCATCACATGTGAGACCTGCCTGTGTACCCAGCTTGCATCACATGTGAGACCTGCCTGTGTACCCAGCTTCCATCACATGTGAGACCTGCCTGTGTACCCAGCTTCCATCACATGTGAGACTTGCCTGTGTACCAAGCTTCCATCACATGTGAGACCTGCCTGTGTACCCAGCTTCCATCACATGTGAGACCTGCCTGTGTACCCAGCTTCCATCACATGTGAGACCTGCCTGTGTACCCAGCTTCCATCACATGTGAGACCTGCCTGTGTACCCAGCTTCCATCACATGTGAGACTTGCCTGTGTACCCAGCTTCCATCACATGTGAGACTTGCCTGTGTACCCAGCTTTCATCACATGTGAGACCTGCCTGTGTACCCAGCTTCCATCACATGTGAGACTTGCCTGTGTACCCAGCTTCCAGCCAACAGATCTAATGCTGCTGGCAGGGGGTGGGCTGAATCATTGAAGGAAAGTCAAACCTAGCTTCTTACCCCATGAAGCATCATATATTTTGATATACTGACACCAAATTCTTCTTCTTCTCACTGTCTAACTAGCAATGCATCATAGGCTCTAAACCAGCTCATACCAAGTTGTTCTGTCCTTCGCTATCGCATGCAGCTCTCCCCCATCTTTTACTTTACTCTGTAGCTTTCTTCTCCCTGTGTTTTTTAAGTCTTTCTTTAGCCCCATTTCTCCCAGATTTACGGTGTCTATCATGGAATCAAGGCCGAAGGGTTGTAATATCCATAATACCGAGCCTAAGGGTAAACAACTTATGGCTTCTAGATACTAAAAAAAAAAATATCTTCCCTTATTTCTAAGCCACTGTGGGTTCCAGTTATATTCTCAGATTTTCTCAAAATGTGTCCTATCGGAGATTTTTTGTCTCTCAGGAAATTTCTTTGTGGCTATATTATACTGGCTACAGTGTACCACTGTTGTCTTTGGGAATATTGCATGGTAGGTCTCTGGTCCCTTCGACTCATGCCGTTGTCCGAAAACCACAAAAATAGTGTATTTTTTCTCCTCGCCGCAGGAAATGCGCCTTAGTACACACGGATGATGAAATTGTCAGCCACATTCGTGAACCTTTCAGCCACAGAACCACACTCATTTTAGAGTGACCTGCCCTGAAAAACCATGTCTCTTAAATGACCACACAACATTAACGTGTCTGACACCACTTTCTGCTTCCTGATGTTAACTGTGATTGTGTCTGTTTTTGTACCTTTGTATGTTCTTTGAGGACATTTCATCTGTTCTGACAGTAATGCTTTTATTTCTGTGTCCAGTGGTCAGACTGAGGCATTTAAGTTAAAGGCATTTAAACAAAGGTATTTAAGTATTTGGAAGCAGTTTTCACATCCAACTGAAAACTGGACAGAAAATAGCTTGAGATGTGCCAAAGCTAATCAAGTAATGGGGAAACTATCTCCCCTGTTGACACACAAGCAGATCACCTGGAGTACTAAAGTGAATCTTATCAGAACTATGTTTTGGCCAACACTATTCTATCAGTGCCAGACATGGATACTTACATCTTTCAATGAACGTAAAATTGTGACTACAGAAAAGAAATGCCTTAGAAGAGCTGCAGGAGTTTCATGGAAAGACAACACAAAATCAGACAAATGCAAGGAATAAAGCCAGTCTTACAGGTCATCAAAGAACAACAAAAGAGGTTGTTTGGACACCTGATAAGAATGCCCTGGTACTATCTGCCACAGCGAGCCACACTAAAACGTTACAACGGGAATAGAGCGAGTGGAATACCTCGGAAAAGATGGAGTGATGGCATTAGAAACAGCCTTAATAGTGCTCTTGACAGAGCTCATCAACGAATGTTACATCTCCCCCCGATACTTCAATGAGGTGCAAGAGAAAAAGAAGAGGAAGAAGAAGTCCAGTTGTTCTGCTGAAAGCACTTTTGCTTTACAGACAGGTTTGACACTTATTCCGTTAGTCACTGGACACACTGTAACATAGCACATACATATCTCATTTCACTGGGAACAATAATGTTTGTTTTGTCTCCTAGCTTCTGCACTCCAATGAACCGGTATCTCTGCTGTGTGAGAAATACTTGAGCAGCCTGATTGTCAAAAAGTAAGTTTCTAAGTTTTGTTTTGTACATTTGAAATGTGAAAAATTAGGTTTCCAAGTTCTGTTTTAATATTTGCAAATATATTTTTTTTTTCCAGAATTTTGTTTTAGAAATTTTGTTGAAAATGTGAGTAAAAAATAAAGGAAAAAATAAACTAAGTTTTGTTGTAGACTGAACACAATAACTTTCGGAGTTTTGTTTTAGACATTTTGTTGAAAAGTGAAAAATAAATAAGATCTCAAGTTTTTTGTAGGTATTTGTAAATGTGAAAAAGTAAGATTCTCAATTTTTGTTTTAAGAATAAGTTTGCATATTTGTTCTAATATTGTATGTGAAAAAGTCAGATTGCTTATGTTTTCAAAAATGTGTGTGAAAAAGTCAGCTTTCATGTTTTAGTCATTTGTAGAGGACACCTCTGTTGCGTAGGAATATCTCCATGAGTGTTGTGATGTGTTCTCAAAGATCATAAATACTCATCTTCTTCATCTCCTGTGTTTGCCCTTACAAGGGCAGCTGGCACATTGTGTCGCAGTTCACTGTGATATTTGCACATCCAGTTTCAGCAAACACCTGACAGTTTCAGCTAACACCTGACTGTTTCAGCAAACACCTGACAGTTTCAGCTAACACCTGACTGTATCAGCAAACACCTGACTGTATCAGCAAACACCTGACTGTATCAGCAAACACCTGACTGTTTTAGCTAACACCTGACTGGTTGCCTCTCACAGCATGCCTGTTTTTGTAAACTGCTGGTCCTGCAATTGCACATTGTGTGAAAGTGTGTAAACTGTACCGGTTCTGTGTATACACATTGTGTGAAATTGTAAACTGTACCGGTTCTGTGTATGCACATTGTGTGAAAGTGTGTAAACTGTTCCAGTCCTGTGTATGCACATTGTGTGAAAGTGTGTAAACTGTACCAGTCCTGTGTATGCACATTGTGTGAAAGTGTGTAAACTGTACCAGTCCTGTGTATGCACATTGTGTGAAAGTGTGTAAACTGTACCGGTCCTGTGTATGCACATTGTGTGATAGTGTGTAAACTGTACCAGTCCTGTGTATGCACATTGTGTGAAAGTGTGTAAACTGTACCAGTCATGTGTATGCACATTGTGTGAAAGTGTGTAAACTGTACCAGTCCTGTGTATGCACATTGTGTGAAAGTGTGTAAACTACCGGTTCTGTGTATGCACATTGTGTGATAGTGTGTAATCTGTACCGGTTCTGTGTATGCACATTGTGTGAAAGTGTGTAAACTGTACCGGTTCTGTGTATGCACATTGTGTGAAAGTGTGTAAACTGTACCGGTTCTGTGAATGCACGTTGTGTGAAAGTGTGTAAACTACCGGTTCTGTGTATACACATTGTGTAAAAGTGTGTAAACTGTACCAGTCCTGTGTATGCACATTGTGTGAAAGTATGTAAACTGTACCGGTTCTGTGTATACACATTGTGTAAAAGTGTGTAAACTGTATCAGTTCTGTGTATGCACATTGTGTGAAAGTGTAAACTGTACCAGTCCTGTGTATGCACATTGTGTGAAAGTGTGTAATCTGTACCGGTCCTGTGTATGCACATTGTGTGAACCGGCATCAACTATATATGTTGTTGTCCTTCTGTTTGCAACAGACATACTCCACGTTCCCGCCATGATGTGTTTGGCACAGCTACCAGCAAGGGGCATGATGATAGTTCCAGCTCGGAGGATGACATGGAAACTGACCAGGTGAAGAGTCGACCCAAAAACAGGTATCATTTTGCTGCAGACGTGGTCAGACCTTCAGTTACAGCAGAAACAGATTTGGATCAACTACTCTCCAAGCCCTTAGACTGGGTTCAGTGGTGCGCTTCCCTGCATTTGAAATGACTTGTGTTACTATAGTTACTGTATCTAGGCAACTCTAATGTAAATTATCTTATAAGCTTCAGTTTAGCATTTTTCAACTTGAATTCTACGTCTGCCTGTGCCACTGTTTATTCATAATTGTGTTTGCCTGTGCCACTGTTTATTCATAATTGTGTTTGCCTGTGCCACTGTTTATTCATAATTGTGTTTGCCTGTGCCACTGTTTATTCATAATTGTGTTTGTCTGTGCCACTGTTTATTCATAATTGTGTTTGCCTGTGCCACTGTTTATTCATAATTGTGTTTGCCTGTGCCACTGTTTATTCATAATTGTGTTTGCCTGTGCCACTGTTTATTCATAATTGTGTTTGCCTGTGCCACTGTTTATTCATAATTGTGTTTGTCTGTGCCACTGTTTATTCATAATTGTGTTTGCCTGTGCCACTGTTTATTCATAATTGTGTTTGCCTGTGCCACTGTTTATTCATAATTGTGTTTGCCTGTGCCACTGTTTATTCATAATTGTGTTTGCCTGTGCCACTGTTTATTCATAATTGTGTTTGCCTGTGCCACTGTTTATTCATAATTGTGTTTGCCTGTGCCACTGTTTATTCATAATTGTGTTTGCCTGTGCCACTGTTTTTTCATAATTGTGTCTGCCTGTGCCACTGTTTATTCATAATTGTGTCTGCCTGTGCCACTGTTTATTCATAATTGTGTTTGCCTGTGCCACTGTTTATTCATAATTGTGTTTGCCTGTGCCACTGTTTATTCATAATTGTGTTTGCCTGTGCCACTGTTTATTCATAATTGTGTTTGCCTGTGCCACTGTTTAGTCATAATTGTGTTTGCCTGTGCCACTGTTTATTCATAATTGTGTTTGCCTGTGCCACTGTTTATTCATAATTGTGTTTGCCTGTGCCACTGTTTATTCATAATTGTGTTTGCCTGTGCCACTGTTTATTCATAATTGTGTTTGCACTCACACATATAAACAGGGATCTCCATGGCGAAGTGGTCCAGCCATTTGCCTTGTGCTTTCACTCTTTTAGTCCTTAGCAACTCACAGTACGTTTCTGGATCACTTCGAAGATAACATAGTTTACCACGGCAGCCTGCTGTCAGAGAAGAATGTTATATCATTCTTTATTTTCCGGGTCACTAGTTTAATTTCTGACACCTATTAGTGTGTGTGTATACTGACCTCCATAAGCCAGATTTTTGACAGGAGTGAAAGTAACAACTGCTTGGGATTGCAAGAGTGAAAGATTGGGGATTGATTTCACAGACTGCACAGTTCAGTGTTTATGAAGATTGTCACTGGAACTGCAGCGTACTTGTTTTGTGTGATGGCAGGCAGCTAGCCATTTTGTATTAGACCAAGACAGAAGGAATCAAACTCAGTATAGTAAATCACTTTCTCAAAAGGCTATGTGCAGTGTTGTTTTTCAAACATCCTGCTAGATGACAGGATATGTTTAGATAAGGCCATTCTCCTCCCCTCCCTGAGGTCTTTGCTGCAACCAAACATGCTAAGAACCACATGCTACCTACACTTCAAAACTGCAGGTAAGGTACACATAGCAAGTCCTCATGGTACACCAGCAAGTTCCCATGATGATGGCAGCACCAAAGGTACACATAGCAAGTCCTCATGGTACACCAGCAAGTTCCCATGATGATGGCAGCACCAAAGGTACACATAGCAAGTCCTCATGGTACACCAGCAAGTTCCCATGATGATGGCAGCACCAAAGGTACACATAGCAAGTCCTCATGGTAAACCAGCAAGTTCCCATGATGATGGCAGCACCAAAGGTACACATAGCAAGTCCTCATGGTAAACCAGCAAGTTCCCATGATGATGGCAAACCTCCTACACTTGTTTAAAATAAGTGCTGTTTGCCCCTGCCCTCAAGTATGGAAACTTGATCACTGCCAGCCAAACTCCTTTATGTCTGGTAGGAGTGGACAACCTGATGGACGAGGTATAGGAGTCTCACTACAAAACAGCTGCTACAGCACATCTCCCAACATACATCTGTGTTATCTCTCCTATTGGTTGCTGGCTTCAACACTGTGCTTTTACCTGATTTCCTCGGCTGAAGGTGAACATTGACATTGCTGTTATGGAAATATTCTGTTGATGTCATAATTCACAATGATTTTGTGTACAAAGTAAGTGAAATTAAACTTGTTGATCATGTTGTTTGCAGATTATCAAATTAAACCATGATAAATTATGGAGTTTTTGTGGTGTTTGTGTGTCACTGGACAAATTTCAGTCAGTTCACATCTTGTAGTTGACTGTAGACATCTCATGCCCCATGACTGACGACTGTAGACGTCTAATGATGTAAACGCAATACCAGCAGCCTGCTACAAACACTGTCCTCCCTGAAGTATCTCACTGGCCCCAGCGTACGACCATATTTAAGTGCTTTAATAAATAAAGGCAAATCTATATCTTAGTTTTAAAGAAGAAACGCTATGGAATTTGTTTTAAATTCACTTTATTTACATCTTTTTGTCATTCTACTTTATCACTGTAAACCATTGCAGTGATTTCCTGGTCACAGCAACATAGGGGATATCAAGACATAAGGTTGATAAAGCAAAGGTATCTAATTCAACAGCTCAATAGGATCAACAACAAAACAAACATATTTCTGCAGCATCACAGCTTGACTGCATTAAACCAATGATGAACACAATTTCCTATTGCTTGAATTTTTAGCAATTCACAACAATAAGTAATGAACTAACATAACTAGCAAACTGTTTAAAATATCAAGTCAAACAGCTTGGCAGCTGTTATTAAAATGGTAATCTTGTATTGACAAGAATAAATAAATAAATCTGTCGAACACCTGGCACAAACCAGAGTAATGGTAGAACAAAACAGCTCAAGAAAGAAGTCAAATGGTAAAATCCACAGTTAGACTTTAGTCTTGGCATGCCAGATCTGAACCATTCAAATGATTTGGTGCAGGAAATGTGTGTTTTTTCCCTCTCCCTTTTTGACTTACCACTCTGGTAGACTGTAGCTCTCATGCACATGTAACCCATCAATGGCCATTAACCACCTGGTCGCCATGACTTCGTGCAGTTGAAAACAATCTCGACAATCCCATTTTTGTAACAGGCAAAAAACGTTGAGAATTTGACAAATGACACCGTTAATTAGCAAACACAAGTGAGGCTGAAACTGGAAATAAATTAAACCTCAGCCCTATTCTCGCTTCCCGGCCCATCTACACACTTTCTCAGTCTGATCTAGGTCAGAGGGATGAAACCTTGTACTATTTTCTTCGAAAAGAGTCTCTCGTGGGATCTAGGCTCAGGTTGTGGGTAAGGAGGGGTTTGGGTTAGGGCCAGTTTTATGTGTTCTGGGGTTGTTAAACTGGAGGTAAGACATCGTGACTCCCTTCTGACGTAGAGCAGTCTGAGAAAGCATGAATGAAAGGTCAACCCGTGTGTAGAATGGCCGGGAAACAACCAGTAGTTAATGAACTAATGGCTTGTTGGCCATAAATTGTTGCCAAAATGGCTATCTGAGAGTAAAAACCTGTTTAATGTTTGACCAAACTTCCCTCCACTCAATCTTCGTATCATCATTCCTGGCAAGTGGAAACGTTGTGCTTGCCAGGTGATGGCCTCTCTCATCAGTTGACAAATAATGCCTTGGGTTATCCAGAACTTTCTGCATGTTTGATTCCACATTGTAATGCACCATCTGTTTCTCCATGAATGGAACAATGAAATTGTATTTGTTGATCTTCTTGTTTATCTCCTGAACACTTTGGGCAAACTTCTCTTTGTGGTACATCAATCTCTTCTGATCCTGCTGTGAATATGGAGGCGGGCCCAGTTTCTCTCGAACATCAGCAAGCTTTGTTCTGGCTTCAGCAATACCATCTCTGCAGACAGTCAAAAATATCTGCTAGAACTGGTTTTAATAACAATCGATCAATCACCTCCTGATTTACACACATCATTGGGCTAAAATATTATGCGGAAGCGGTGGAGATGTGGTTTTACAGATGAATGATAAGAATACAATGGGCAGAGAAGGACAATCAACACTCTTTGGTCATGTCATGAGGAAAACACAAGTATATCGCATCGGTGGGAAAACTGGAGGGCAAAAGAGGCAGAGGGTTGACTAAGAGAGAACATGCTGGACAGTTTGACATCATGGACTGGGAGATGGTCTGTGTCAGAACTGACTGAAAATACGTAAGAAATAAGGTTGTGGATAGACATGACTACCAATGACAAGAAGGTTGTGGATAGACATGACTACCAATGACAAGAAGGTTGTGGATAGACATGACTACCAATGACAAGAAGGTTGTGGATAGACATGACTACCAATGACAAGAAGGTTGTGGATAGACACGACTACCAATGACAAGAAGGTTGTGGATAGACACGACTACCAATGACAAGAAGGTCATGAATAGACACGACTACCAATGACAAGAAGGTTGTGGATAGACATGACTACCAATGACAAGAAGGTTGTGGATAGACATGACTACCAATGACAAGAAGGTTGTGGATAGACATGACTACCAATGACAAGAAGGTTGTGGATAGACATGACTACCAATGACAAGAAGGTTGTGGATAGACATGACTACCAATGACAAGAAGGTTGTGGATAGACACGACTACCAATGACAAGAAGGTCATGGATAGACACGACTACCAATGACAAGAAGGTTGTGGATAGACATGACTACCAATGACAAGAAGGTTGTGGATAGACATGACTACCAATGACAAGAAGGTTGTGGATAGACATGACTACCAATGACAAGAAGGTTGTGGATAGACACGACTACCAATGACAAGAAGGTCATGGATAGACACGACTACCAATGACAAGAAGGTCATGGATAGACACGACTACCAATGACAAGAAGGTTGTGGATAGACACGACTACCAATGACAAGAAGGTCATGGATAGACACGACTACCAATGACAAGAAGGTCATGGATAGACACGACTACCAATGACAAGAAGGTCATGGATAGACACGACTACCAATGACAAGAAGGTCATGGATAGACACGACTACCAATGACAAGAAGGTCATGGATAGACACGACTACCAATGACAAGAAGGTTGTGGATAGACACGACTACCAATGACAAGAAGGTTGTGGATAGACACGACTACCAATGACAAGAAGGTTGTGGATAGACACGACTACCAATGACAAGAAGGTTGTGGATAGACACGACTACCAATGACAAGAAGGTCATGGATAGACACGACTACCAATGACAAGAAGGTCATGGATAGACACGACTACCAATGACAAGAAGGTTGTGGATAGACACGACTACCAATGACAAGAAGGTCATGAATAGACACGACTACCAATGACAAGAAGGTCATGGATAGACACGACTACCAATGACAAGAAGGTCATGAATAGACACGACTACCAATGACAAGAAGGTCATGAATAGACACGACTACCAATGACAAGAAGGTCATGAATAGACACGACTACCAATGACAAGAAGGTCATGGATAGACACGACTACCAATGTTATACAGCACAAACTATAAGAAGATGAAATGGCTGGGATAAATATACATTTTTATACTGTCGATTTTGCTGATGATAAGGCTGAAGGAATACAAATAATCTAGGCCTGTACTTGAGACAAACGGACTCATGGGAACAAAATGCCATGGACCGTGTTGTGTGGAGAGGGCATATCAGGAAGGGAAAGAGTGAAGAAAGAAATGATTGCAGAACAAAATTAGAGCTGAGCATCTAAGAAGACATGGATTAAACACAAATGTTAACAATATTAGTCCTGAAATCCCATGCTATCATTGTGGAAGACTTTTCTTGCTAGTTACACTCGCCATCGCCATGGGCTGTGAGTCTCATGTCTCCCCATAGCGCAATCTAACACTGTCTTCGGGAAAGACGGAAAGTTGCCAATCGTAATTAAGACACCTCCATTAAATTGATGCTTGAGTAACACCGGCCAAGACAGTGGTACAAGACAAGACACTGGTACAAGACAAGACTGGTACAAGACAAGACAGTGGTACAAGACAAGACAGTGGTACAAGAAAAGACAGTGGTACAAGACTGGTACAAGACAAGACAGTGGTACAAGACTGGTACAAGACAAGACAGTGGTACAAGACAAGACAGTGGTACAAGACTGGTACAAGACAAGACAGTGGTACAAGACTGGTACAAGACAAGACAGTGGTACAAGACTGGTACAAGACAAGACAGTGGTACAAGACAAGACAGTGGTACAAGACAAGACCGTGGTACAAGACTGGTACAAGACAAGACAGTGGTACAAGACTGGTACAAGACAAGACAGTGGTACAAGACAAGACAGTGGTACAAGACTGGTACAAGACAAGACAGTGGTACAAGACTGGTACAAGACAAGACAGTGGTACAAGACAAGACAGTGGTACAAGACTGGTACAAGACAAGACAGTGGTACAAGACTGGTACAAGACAAGACAGTGGTACAAGACTGGTACAAGACAAGACAGTGGTACAAGACAAGACAGTGGTACAAGACAAGACAGTGGTACAAGACAAGACAGTGGTACAAGACAAGACAGTGGTACGAGACTGGTAAAAGACATGACTGGTACAAGACAAGACAGTGGTACAAGACAAGACAGTGGTACAAGACAAGACAGTGGTACAAGACAAGACAGTGGTACGAGACTGGTAAAAGACAGTGGTACAAGACAAGACAGTGATACAAGGCTGGTACAAGACAGTGGTACAAGACAAGACAGTAGTACAAGACAAGACAGTGGTACGAGACTGGTACAAGACAAGACAGTGGTACAAGACTGGTACAAGACAAGACAGTGGTACGAGACTGGTACAAGACAAGACAGTGGTACAAGACAAGACAGTGGTACAAGACTGGTACAAGACAAGACAGTGGTACGAGACTGGTACAAGACTGGTACAAGACAAGACAGTGGTACAAGACAAGACAGTGGTACGAGACTGGTACAAGACAGTGGTACAAGACAAGACAGTGGTACAAGACAAGACAGTGGTACGAGACTGGTACAAGACCGTGGAACAAGACTGGTACAAGACAGTGGTACAAGACTGAGATACAAGCCAGCAACATCAGCCATCTATGCCTGGGTGCTGACAAGTCCCAGCAAAGGTTCTGGACTTCTTACTAGTCTTCGGACTCGGGGCAAGGAAAACTGCAACACAGTCTCTGTAGAGACGATACTTTAGTAGTGGTGCAGGTGGAGAGTCTACACCTGAACAATCACCTTCTTGTCAGGGCCGAGTCATAAGATTTAAGGATTGAAAACATTAGACTCAGGGATTGAAACTAAAGTTGCCCAGGGGATTCACTACTGATATATTCATGTTTATTATGTTGGGATATTCTGCGATATTTCAGCTGGTCACATTCAGTAGCTGACTCCAAGATGGACATCATGTTCTAGTCAACTTTATAGGGCTCTAGATATTTCAGCTGGTTACATTCAGTAGCTGACTCCAAGATGGACATCATGTTCTAGTCAACTTTATAGGGCTCTAGAACATAAATGACCAAACGAGTGGTGACCCAGTGAAGGACGCAATGTAACAAACAATTTGAAAAAAAAAAAATAATATATGCCAGCTTTGCAGAGCACAATACAATAAACAAACAAAGGATGTTATGGCAACAAGTTTTTAACAGCAAATACAACACATACACACGCCAAATAATATAAAGAAGTAACAATATGTTCCCTAGTTGAACTAGGTATCAAACCACTGAACACACATTCTCCCCATGGTGATTCATAGGCATCATGGAGGGTGGGGGGGGGGGGGGGGCTGTCCCTCTAAGAAGGATGTTGTATAAGGCAGCTAACTAGGAGCTGTCTTAAACTTAAGGTGTTGGGTTGAAAGATATTGCAGCCCAGCTGTAAACCACACCACAAAACCTTCACTGTCATGTTAATGACAAATGCAGAAGATAAATGCTCACAAGTAACTAGGATGTAAAGTTGACCAGGAGAAAGAGAAACAGAGACAAGAGGCCATTGCTTGGGGCAAGAAACGCTGGATTTAAAGCACTTACCTGATTTCCTTTGACAACATAATCCATTCAGGTTTAAAGCCATTGTTGACCAGGATTTTGTTGATGTTGTGAGTGGTCAAGTCTATGAATGGGTTATAGTCGGAGTTTTTCAGAGGTTTTCCAGACCCTGCCAGGTTATCAAAGTCCCCTCTCTGCATCGATTCCCGAATGAGGTCATCGACAACTCGATCTATCAAGTTGCTGGGAAAACATTTATTTGAAAATGTGGTCATTGACATGACAGGACATCCAGACATGAAGTTGCATGGCTATCAAGTGCCGTGATATGTCCTTGGCAGAGCAGGAGTGAGTCTACCGGCTGTCATGAAAATGTGTGGGGATCATGTACGGGGTATTTGGCTGTCATAAAAGCTGTGTGTGGATCATGTACAAGATATTTGGCTGTCACGAAAGCTGTGTGTCGATCATGTATGGAGTATCTAGCTGTTCATGTAGCTGTGTGTGGATCATGTATGGAGTATCTAGCTGTTCATGTAGCCGTGTGTGGATCATGTATGGGGTATTTGGCTGGCATAGGTTTTAAACATCAACTTAACAAGGTGTTTGTCTGAGTTAGTAAGTGCAATGCACTTCTTAGGGTTGCTCGGTATTTGCAGCCTTCTCAAGGTACAATGACGAAGAATAATTAACTCCGATAAGAACAAAGGGTGACAACTCAGAACAGCTGATATAACTATTTTGTCAAATATCTTTATTCTCAGTCCACGCAGTCCAGAGGTAAAACTGTCTAGAAGTTGTAGAGCAATCAAGTTCATGGAATATCAGAGAGCTAAATTATAATGACCCCATGGAAGTAGAATTTTATGGTTGATTGTAGCAACAGTTTGTTTTGCAGACTCAGCCCAAGGGATTCATATTTAATACTTCATCATTGCAGACATCTCAGTCAGCCATTTGTAGACGATATAATATGGCAAGTATTCTCTGAACTGTCTGTCTGCTGGTAGATACGCTCACTGATTTATTCACAAAAAAATTATGTATCCGCTCTCCAACCGTCATCAGACAGAATAAAACACTTACCCCTGCTACATCTCCCATAATCTATACCCCCCCCCACCCCCTTTCCCCCCGAATCCACCAAACTCTTGAGTCTCAGCTCATACATTCTTGTTTCCTGTAATTTTGGGGTGAGTTTGGTCTGTCACGACCATCCTCCATGAAAACTTTCGCCACATTTTGTATAAGTATTTGATGTCTAGCTAGGCTGTGATATCTTCAACTTTTGGCCCAATATATTCAATTTAAGCAAACCTCTAATTAATTGCCTATTATAACATGCTTGCTAGGGGAAAAGCGGATCCACCCCCTCCCACCACCCCGTGGGACCCAGGAACCCACATAGAGAATAAATACACTGTAGTCAGTCATACTGTTGGGTCTTGTGACTAGAAAACCCCACACAAAATGTATGTGGTTTGCATACATTCATTCTCAACGTTTTATCGACTGTCTGTATATCAGAACCAGGCAAAGATAAGTAAATGGAGGCTTATCTTCTGCAGATTTCTTCATTTACTGACCCTGAGCTTTTTGCATTTAGCTAAATAACTTATTCTACTTTCTGTATTCTATCAGGCATCTTCTGTTATAGTTTGATATGTCTTAACTTGTTCTGCGTTACTGTTTCAACATGTTTGTGTATATGTGTGCTTTGGTAAAACCCAGGAAAATAAAGGAGACACTTCTTTATAAGAACATCTTCTGAACAGGGGGAAAGTGACTTCTTTACAGACAGTAGCCACTACAGACTCACTGATTCACATGCTGTGACCAGATTCATTCAACGACTGATTCATGCTTCCACTTACCATGGGAATGGAGGTGGAGGCAGTAAAAGCAGCTTTCCGATGCTAGAGAGTATTAGAACCTGACATGTCATGTGACTGACTCATAGAGCAGGCTTTGAAGAACAAGCATGTCGTAAGAGTCAACTAGCTAGGGGCTTCCTTCCAAGTGGGGGTGCATCTGCCTGAGAGACAAGGAATCTGCTGTCTGCTTACAGAAAAGTCAAATGTGTAAAAAGGATGTGCACGCAACACGCAGGTTCTAGAACAAGACTAGTCCTGAGGTGGATGAATACCAAGAACTTTTGGCCAGAGTTTACAGCCGACGAATGTGAAGAAGATGAAGAACTTACCAAGACTCAGATTAGGACCATACAGATCTCTTGCCAAGAAGAATCAGATGTGCATGGTAATGAGCCAGCTGATAGACTTGCTACTGCCGTTCCTCTGAGTTGTGAGCTACTTTATAATAAAGTGGATGTGATGAACGGTCTCTGGGATTAAGTGGATAGAATATCTATACCTCAAAAGACTGATTTAGCAGTTAGATAGCAGAGAGTGAATTGTTTTCTCTTTGAATCAGGTTGCAATCAACACCATCAGCACGTGATCTCTTCATTGGCTACTTTAAGGAGACAGAGCTCATGTGGGAATGCCCTGAGTGCGGCCATGTCAATTCTTTTTTAAATTTATTTTACTGACCTTATCTTGATTTTTCTGGCCTCAGTTTTGTCCCTGGTGATGAGTGCATCCTCAGCTATCCCATGCTTCATGAGTCGGTGCTCGTACACAGATTCAGAGGCTTGTGCCACTCTGTACTGTTTGTAGATCTGTTCCCGTCTGCTGGGGGGCCCAAACCCAATGCCCTGTAATGACCGAAACTTGAATCATAGGCTCATGAAACTAGTAGCATCATTATAAGGCAATTCGTTCGCTAGAGATAAAAACACAAGTATTATATGGATGTATGCTCTACCCAAGCCTATTTTGACTTAAATACATTTTAAAACATTTTAAAATAAGCTGGAGATTTGTCTAGACTCAATTTGAGATAAAATATAACATAGTGCTATCAGTAAAAAGTGAGCAAGAATTACAGGACCTAGTAGACCAAGTATGTAGATGGTGTGTAGAGTTTAAATATTAATTTAAAGGAAAAAAAAAAAAGAGAATTGTTGATGGAAAGGAGTGGCCAACATCGCAGTAAACACAGACTAAAATATCTTAAATAAGATGTGAAAGTTACTGGCATTCCCAGCGATAACCAACACAGTGAAAGCAAAAGTTTATACAGCACAGACCGCTTACAGCGATCCCAGATTTGGTGAATTTCTGTTTATCCTCTGTAGTTTTTTTCTCCCTTGTCTTTGTTTTAAAAAAAATATTTTAAAAATCTGATTGAGCGAAATCTAGTTATCATGAATTCTTAGACATGCCGAATGACTAAACATGTCCCATCTGTATAACTTGATCTGCTTGAGAAGACTTTTTTTTTTTCAAACACCTGGACATTTGTACATCTTTTCAGCTGTTTTCAGAAATGGTGTGCTTTGTCTGTGTTATTATTTGAGTTACATCCCCCTAAATCAACACTTTTGGTACATGTTTATCAATCAGTCTGTTTCCTCCGGGATACTACATAAAGGTTTACCAACAGGCCAACAGGGGCAATCTCAGATACCCCGGTTCAACCTCCAAAGAAGTTACAATTAGGGCACAAGTAACAGCTACACGAGCCAGCTGTAACTACAGTCCTGTGGCGGTAAGATCATACATCTATCATATACAACTTCTCTTACACCAGCAAGCTGTAACTGACAGTCATGTAGTGGTGAGATCATACATCTATAGTATACAACTTCTCTTACACCAGCCAGCTGTAACTGACAGTCATGTAGTGGTGAGATCATACATCTATAGTATACAACTTCTCTTACACCAGCCAGCTGTAACTGACAGTTATGTAGTGGTGAGATCATACATCTATAGTTTACTTCTCTTACACCAGCCAGCTGTAACTGACAGTCATGTAGTGGTGAGATCATACATCTATAGTTTACAACTTCTCTTACACCAGCCAGCTGTAACTGACAGTCATGTAGTGGTGAGATCATACATCTATAGTTTACTTCTCTTACACCAGCCAGCTGTAACTGACAGTTATGTAGTGGTGAGATCATACATCTATTGTATACAACTTCTTTTACACCAGCCAGCTGTAACTAACAGTCCTGTGGTGGTGAGATTATTCATCTATAGTCTACAACTTCTCTTACACCAGCCAGCTGTAACTGACAGTCATGTGGTGGTGAGATCATAAATCTGTCGTTTACAACTTCTCTTCTTTTTTATTCACCTCCTCTTCTACCACTTATGGCAAGGACATGAGTCTGGGCTCTGGGAGGCAAAGTTGTATTCAAACACTGATGCCTTATTGTAGTGTATGCTGTAAATGCATTACCATATGCTAGGACTCTTATCTGGACAAAAGCAATTTCTGATAAAAAGAACTATTTCTTGGGTCTCTTGTAAGGTCCATCTTACCAAATATAGATATTTGACCCCTGTCTACAATGCACAAACCTGGACAATGAACAAGCAACTAGAATGGCAAATTGAGTCTCTGGAGATAAGTATATAGCTAAGAATAGGTCAAAGTTCATGGAGACAAAGACTATGAAACAGAGAAGTTCTGAAGAGACTAGTAATAAAAACAAATTAGCTGAAAGAAATCAACACTTTTTAAAAATGATACCGGAGGGAAAAGTTAAAAGGCAAGAGAACAAGAGACGAACAATGACAAGACTAGAAGAACAACATCAAGAGATAAACAGTTTGAGCGAGTGTACAAGCAAGATAAGATATGAAGTCCAGCCATTTGGATGAAGGAATCCACAAGTAGCTTGAGAATATCTGCTGTTGGGTTATCTTTCTCAGGGACCTTAATATCCAAAACACAGTTTTATTTACAAAAATAAACGCAAATTATGTCCATTTCTATAACTACCAAGTTGCCTACTACCATTCTCACTTTCGGGAGCCACAGGATCTGCCACACGTGTCTACTATTCAAGTACCACTATAAAGATAAGTGAAGTTTTATTTTTTTGTCTGTAATCGTATCAGTGCCTCTTTGTGTTGTATGGTGATAAAGGCCTTTTAACAGTAACATTCCTTTGTTGTTCATGACTGTGACACTGTGAAGCAGACTAGGTCTACATCTCGTCTGCACTGATAATTGTTCCTGACATTATTAAAAAAAAAAAAATATCTTCAGTATGGAGAATAAAGATGGAGGCTGCCAGTGTGGCGCTGAAACGGCTTGCCAATATTTCACCAACAATTACTGCAGTTGCCATCTCTGATTCTCAATCTACACTGAGACAAGTTCAGAATGGATGGCCACATCAAAAATGGCTGCTAATTATGGAGGTGCGCACACACTCACACCTCTCTGTTCAAACAGCATGCCATTCCTACAAATCTGATTTTCTCGAGCTAACAGAACAAAGAACAATATTATGCATTACAAAAGTAAGGGTAATGTACATAAATCTTTATAGCTGAACCCTCATGGACTTGCTGCAAGTGCAAAGACACTGACTTCCCATCATTAACACTGACTTCCCATCATTAACATACTATTGGCAAGAATTCTATCCCTGACTGTTCTGTCTCAGGGTTGCTCACCTCGTACGTCAAGTATCTTCTGTGCTGGGGTGCTTTGTATTTCATAGCCTCGTCCTCAGCCTTCCTGTCCTCGTCTGCTGTCAGGATGGCCTGACCCCGTTTGTGGTTCTAGAGATGAACAAATTATAAAATTACAAGATATATAAATAATACAGTTCGGCACCCCCTCCCCCTTATCAGCCAACATTTTCAGTCAGATGCCAGAATAGGGCGTGCAAGACCAGTAGCAGAACTTGACATCTACATCGACATACTACCATGTAAGAAACATCCGTTGGTTTTGACAGTGGTATCGAGAGCTGACAGTTTAGGAGCAATGACAAACTTAAAAAACTACTTAACGTAAAATGTTCCTAGAAAAACAGCCAAAAAATGCTGGGTTTGGTTCTGCGACGTCCTGTAAGAAGGATATGCAACTAACTAACATCCCACTTAATGCTTGGAAGGAGTTTAACATCCCACTTAATGCTTGGAAGGAGTCTAACATCCCACTCAATGCTTGGAAGGAGTTTAACATCCCACTCAATGCTTGGAAGGAGTTTAACATCCCACTCAATGCTTGGAAGGAGTTCAACATCCCACTCAATGCTTGGAAGGAGTTTAACATCCCACTCAATGCTTGGAAGGAGTCTAACATCACATTTAATGCTTGGAAGGAGTCTAACATCACATTTAATGCTTGGAAGGAGTCTAACATCCCACTTAATGCTTGGAAGGAGTCTAACATCCCACTTAATGCTTGGAAGGAGTCTAACATCCCACTCAATGCTTGGAAGGAGTTTAACATCCCACTCAATGCTTGGAAGGAGTTTAACATCCCACTCAATGCTTGGAAGGAGTTCAACATCCCACTCAATGCTTGGAAGGAGTTTAACATCCCACTCAATGCTTGGAAGGAGTCTAACATCACATTTAATGCTTGGAAGGAGTCTAACATCACATTTAATGCTTGGAAGGAGTCTAACATCCCACTTAATGCTTGGAAGGAGTCTAACATCCCACTTAATGCTTGGAAGGAGTCTAACATCTAACTTAATGCTTGGAAGGAGTCTAACATCTAACTTAATGCTTGGAAGGAGTCTAACATCTAACTTAATGCTTGGAAGGAGTCTAACATCTAACTCAATGCTTGGAAGGAGTCTAACATCTAACTTAATGCTTGGAAGGAGTCTAACATCCCACTTAATGCTTGGAAGGAGTCTAACATCCCACTTAATGCTTGGAAGGAGTCTAACATCTAACTTAATGCTTGGAAGGAGTCTAACATCCCACTTAATGCTTGGAAGGAGTCTAACATCTAACTTATTGCTTGGAAGGAGTCTAACATCTAACTCAATGCTTGGAAGGAGTCTAACATCCCACTCAATGCTTGGAAGAAGTTTAACATGCCACTCAAGGAGTCTTTAACTTTCTAATCTGGCATTATGACATTGATAAATGAGAAGGCTGTGGAATGTTCTGTTGCATAACAGTATTTGCTGTTGAATGTTCTGTTGCATAACAGTATTTGCTGTGGAATGTTCTGTTGCAGAACAGTTTTTGCTGTGGAAATATGACTGTTAACAATTTCGATAGGGTCTTAAAAAATATCTGAGCCCCTAGACTAGCTCTGATACTGCTTGACATCTTCAGATGTAGTTCATATGAAACAGAATCCGCATGAGACAGAATCCACATGAGACAGAATCCACATGGCACACAGAATCCACATGACACAGAATCCACATGGCACACAGAATCCACATGGCACACAGAATCCACATGAGACAGAATCCACATGAGACAGAATCCACATGAGACAGAATCCACATGACACAGAATCCACATGAGACAGAATCCACATGAGACAGAATCCATATGAGACAGAATCCACATGAGACAGAATACAAGGTCAAACTTTGCAATCAGGCAGGACATGACTGGCTGTCAATGGGAAAATCTAATGCCTGATTTTCACCTGTTTAAAAAAAACAAAAACAAAAAAGGCACACAAGCCTAAACAGTAGGACATCAAAGAAGAACAGTGCAAAAGACCTTGGACAAGGAAAAGTGTCAATATATTTTTAGAGCAAGCAGATTTGTACGTAAGCAGGAGAAGCCAGAAGCAGATTTGTACGTAAGCAGGAGAAGCCAGAAGCAGATTTGTACGTAAGCAGGAGAAGCCAGAAGCAGATTTGCACGTAAGCAGGAGAAGCCAGAAGAAGAAGACAGAGAAGGACAAATCTAAGAAGAAATCTTATTTAATTTACTCGACAGAGAAGCCTACCATGGCAGTTTTGTAGGCATCCTGAACTTGGATAAACTTGTTGCCATCACTGGTCGGCATCTGTCCATCAGGATGATAGTCTTTGGCCTGTGTAAAGATAGTCTGGGTTTTATACAGGTGCGTGTGTGTGTATGTGTGTGTGAGGAAACGTGTGTTATTAATACTGAGTGTTAAAAGTGTGGTGTATCTAATACTTGCTGTGACTGCAAAGGTGTGTGTGTGTGTCTGTGCATTCATGTGCGTGCGAGTATACATGTGTGTGTTTCAGGACTGTGTGTATCCAATGACGGTGTGTGAGAAAAGGGTGTTATATCTACTACTTCTAACTTATCAGCATTGTGTGGGAGACACTAATTGTCAATATTAATATATATATATATGCATCTGCACAGATGTGAAGGATTTTGTTCTCAAATGAAACAATTAACACTGTCCACAGCAGGAAAACTCCAACTTTTATGTAACCGACTAGTTTGTTGGTACTGTTGTTCTTTATACAAGCACTGCCACTGTTCCATGGTATAAGTGAAGCCAATGCTGGCCTTCAGTGTTAAGATGAAACAAGCAAATGTTTCCAGAGCTGTCCTCAACACGACAGCACTAGCAGAACCCCTGAAAACATCACTATCTGCGCTGATGTCACTGTGATGGCATGTAGCTGCATTCATCTTTAGATATCAATTGACCCTTTTTTCACGTCTTCACGCATACTGGGCACACAGGGCCAGACCTAAATCTTCACAAACCGATCAGCACTCTATGGGTGGTCAACATCCCGCCGGCCGCCTTTACTCTCCAGAAGTGTACGTGGTACATTTAATAAGTCTTGATCAATCTGGGAGCCAAGGTCAGAACCCGAATCAATGACCTTCAGATCCACAAATGAGCATCTAGTCACTACACCACGGTGGCTCCCACATCTAGCCACTACACCACGGTGGCTCCCACATCTAGCTGCTACACCACGGTGGCTCCCACATCTAGCTGCTACACCACGGTGGCTCCCACATCTAGCCACTACACCACGGTGGCTCCCACATCTAGCTGCTACACCACGGTGGCTCCCACATCTAGTCACTACACTACGGTGGCTCCCACATCTAGCCACTACACTACCGTGGCTCCCACATCTAGCCACTACACCACAGTGGCTCCCACATCTAGCTGCTCCACCATGGTGGCTCCCACATCTAGCCACTACATCACGGTGGCTCCCACATCTAGCCACTACACCACGGTGGCTCCCACATCTAGCCACTACACTACGGTGGCTCCCACATCTAGCCACTACACCACGGTGGCTCCCACATCTAGCTGCTCCACCATGGTGGCTCCCACATCTAGCCACTATACCATGGTGGCTCCCACATCTAGCTGCTCCACCATGGTGGCTCCCACATCTAGCCACTATACCACGGTGGCTCCCACATCTAGCTGCTCCACCATGGTGGCTCCTACATCTAGCCACTACACTACGGTGGCTCCCACATCTAGTCACTACATCACGGTGGCTCCCACATCTAGTCACTACACCACGGTGGCTCCCACATCTAGCTGCTACACCACGGTGGCTCCCACATCTAGCTGCTACATCACGGTGGCTCCCACATCTAGCCACTACACCACGGTGGCTCCCACATCTAGTCACTACACCACGGTGGCTCCCACATCTAGCTGCTACACCACGGTGGCTCCCACATCTAGTCACTACACCACGGTGGCTCCCACATCTAGCCACTACACCACGGTGGCTCCCACATCTAGCCGCTACACCACGGTGGCTCCCACATCTAGCCACTACGCCACGGTGGCTCCCACATCTAGCCACTACGCCACGGTGGCTCCCACATCTAGCCGCTCCACCATGGTGGCTCCCACATCTAGCTGCTCCACCATGGTGGCTCCCACATCTAGCTGCTCCACCATGGTGGCTCCCACATCTAGTTGCTCCACTACGGTGGCTCCCACACCTAGCTGCTCCACCACGGTGGCTCCCACATCTAGCTGCCCCACTACGGTGGCTCCCACATCTAGCTGCTCCACCACGGTGGCTCACACATCTAGCCACTACACCATGGTGGCTCCCACATCTAGCTGCTCCACCACAGTGGCTCCCACATCTAGCCACTACACCACGGTGGCTCCCACATCTAGCCACTACGCCACGGTGGCTACCACATCTAGCCGCTACACCACGGTGGCTCCCACATCTAGCCACTACACCACGGTGGCTCCCACATCTAGCTGCTCCACCATGGTGACTTCCACATCTAGCTGCTCCACCACGGTGGCTCCCACATCTAGCTGCTCCACCACGGTGGCTCCCACATCTAGCTGCTCCACCACGGTGGCTCCCACATCTAGCTGCTCCACCACGGTGGCTCCCACATCTAGCTGCTCCACCACGGTGGCTCCAACATCTAGCTGCTCCACCACGGTGGCTCCCACATCTAGCTGCTACACTATGGTGGCTCCCACATCTAGCCACTACACCAGTGTCTCCCACATCTAGCCACTACACCACAGTGGTTCCCACATCTAGCCACTACACCACGGTGGCTCCCACATCTAGCTACTACACCACGGTGGCTCCCACATCTAGTCACTACACCACGGTGGCTCCCACATCTAGCTACCACACCACGGTGGCTCCCACATCTAGTCACTACACCATGGTGGCTCCCACATCTAGCCACTACACCACGGTGGCTCCCACATCTAGCCACTACACCACGGTGGCTCCCACATCTAACCTCTACACCACGGGGGCTCCCACATCTAGCCACTACACCACGGTGGCTCCCACATCTAGCCACTACACCACGGGGGCTCCCACATCTAGCCACCACACCACGGTGGCTCCCACATCTAGCCACTACATCACGGTGGCTCCCACATCTAGCCACTACATCACGGTGGGTCCCACATCTAGCCACTACATCACGGTGGCTCCCACATCTAGCCTCTACACCACGGGGGCTCCCACATCTAGCCTCTACACCACGGGGGCTCCCACATCTAGCCACTACACCACGGTGGCTCCCATATCTAGCCACTACACCACGGGTGCTCCCACATCTAGCCACTACATCACGGTGGCTCCCACATCTAGCCACTACACCACTGTGGCTCCCACATCTAGCCACTACACCACGGTGGCTCCCATGTTTATATACACTTTTTTGTTATTTTAAAAAGGACAGGGTATTTTGTTGCTGTGTAATCTGCTTAAGGAGAGATTCTTGAGTCATAGAAATATCTATTACACAAGTGAGATAATTAACAATTACATAAGAAAGTAATTACTGACATAATCAGACATAATTTGTTGAAACAGTCAGAAAGTTAACTGATGCAACAATCTGAAAGTTTTCAATTAACACAGTCAGAAAATTAATTGACACAACAGTTTGAAAGTGATCTACTAAAACATTCAGAACGCTATTAGTTGCCAGACAATTAACTATCATAAGAGTCACAAAGTTACCTATGGAAAAAGGTAACAAATTTACCGGTTAAAACAGTCTGAAAGGTAAACTATTACAGTAATCAGATACTTTTTTTTCATTAAAACAGTCTGAAAGGTAACTATTGCAGTAATCAGATACTTATTTATTAAAACAGCCTGAAAGGTAACTATTGCAGTAATCAGATACTTATTTATTAAAACAGTCTGAAAGGTAACTAACACATTATCAGACACTTATTTATTAAAACAGCCTGAAAGGTAATTATTACTGTAATCAGGTACTTATTTATTAAAACAGTCTGAAAGGTAACTATTGCAGTAATCAGAAACTTATTTATTAAAACAGTCTGAAAGGTAACTAACACATTATCAGACACTTATTTATTAAAACAGCCTAAAAGGTAATTATTACTGTAATCAGGTAGTTATTTATTAAAACAGTCTGAAAGGTAACTATTGCAGTAATCAGAAACTTATTTATTAAAACAGTCTGAAAGGTAACTAACACATTATCAGACACTTATTTATTAAAACAGCCTGAAATGTAACTATTGCAGTAATCAGATACTTATTTATTAAAACAGTCTGAAATGTAACTATTGCAGTAATCAGATACTTATTTATTAAAACAGTCTGAAAGGTAACTATTGCAGTAATCAGATATTTATTAAAACAGTCTGAAAGGTAACTATTGCAGTAATCAGATATTTATTAAAACAGCCTGAAATGTAACTATTGCAGTAATCAGATACTTATTTATTAAAACAGTCTGAAAGGTAACTATTGCAGTAATCAGATACTTATTTATTAAAACAGCCTAAAAGATAACTATTACTGTAATCAGGTAGTTATTTTTTAAAACAATCTGAAAGGTAACTAACACATTATCAGACACTTATTTATTAAAACAGCCTGAAAGGTAACTATTACTGTAATCAGGTAGTTATTTATTAAAACAGTCTGAAATTAAGTATTACAGTAATCAGATAGTTATTTACTACAACAGGCATGCCCGGCTCTCTAGCGAAGTTGGTTAAATCTGACTTTCGCGGCGGCCGGGTGACGAACTCCTTGTGGTCCGGGTTCACTCCCGGGGGTAGGCAGAAAAGCCACATTTCTCCCAGATTAACGGTACCTATAATGGAATAAATGCCGAAGGGTTGCGATATCCATAGTACCGAGCCAAAGGGTTTACAACTCATGGTTTTTGGATACGTTAAAAAAAAAAAAAAAAACTACAACAGGCTAAACGGTATCTTTTATAACAGTCAGAGAAATTGCCCACGTGCTAGCTTTTAAAAATCAGCAAATACCTTTTTCAAATAAGCAGTTCTGAGTTCATCCTCTGTACACTCTGAAGAGACACCAAGTAAGTGGTACGATTCTGAGACTGTCTGTTTGGGCTGCCTTTCCACAGGACTGGACAACTGTTGGCATGTGTGAAAGAATGAGCCCGAAAATGCTTGCTCCAGACAGTGGTCACTGCCTTTACATGCCAAACTTTTCCGCAGAATGACAGCAGGTCGGTACATTTTGTCCTGAGTCTACTCAGTTGAAGTACTCATATTCTAACATTTTTCTTCCGTTAGAATTTCCTAGTAAGAAAACAAAAACCAATCATAATAACAGTGGGGCTCTGGTTTAAAGGTTAGTAAAATGTAAAACTTTTCAGGTAACAGCCCAGAGAGAATAAACGGCATGTACATAGGCAGGCATTGGATGTCTTATTGGTTGGTTTTTCTTCTGGAAGACTGACACCTGGCTCATTAATTCCAGTGCACTTGTATTTAGATTGTTTGGACCACAAAAAGGGCTTGTAGAAAAAAAAAGGTGTCGCAGAGACTTTTCTCCTAATTCGATACTGGTTTAGTTTGGTTTATACAACGGATACTGACATAACAGATCCTTGGGAACAGTGCTGCAGAGCTCTTATCCCCTCTATAGCTGCAGCAACCGGCAGCATTTCTATTATTCAGGAAAACGGAAAAATATTGCAGTATCTTAAATACCTACTTTACTGAAACAACCCTTTTAATTATGGTGAATCAAATCCACTGTGGTCTTCTACAGAGTGGGTAGATCCAACCTGTTACAAACAAACACAAGAACTGACATGCTATCGTTATAATTCAGGATAAAATATGGAGAAAGAATGATAAAATAGCAACAACAAAATATCTAAAGATAAAAGTAGAAGATGAAGGGAGTCAACAAATAAACAAAAAAGACCTTGAATGGCTCACAGGAATTGTGTTCAGGTGTATTCACAGTATGCAAGAAACTGAGTGTCATGAATGGCTGACAATTCACAAGTCTGGGTTTTGTTCAGAAAGCCGTCACCACCTGTGTTTTTTGTTGAATTCACAAATTGAATCCTAACCCCAATTATGTATCCTTTCTTAGACTTATGGCAGTGTGACACAATCTTCAATGACGTCACTAATTCTCCTCAGTATCATGGTCAAACTCATTTCACACCTTTAATTACAAAGATTGCCTTTACTCTGCTAGAACTGAACTGACCTGGAGCATCTCTGAACAACTGACTCAGACCCCTGACACACAATGCATATGTCAGTGAAAGTGTGATATGAAAACACAGACTTAGATATTTAACCATGTCACCTCAAGAAAGCCAGTTTTCTGATTTTTATGGCTTTTTTTTGGACAAGGTTGTTTTAAGCAGTGGCCAGTATAACAGCTTTATTACTGGTTGCAACTGCCTAGTGGGTGGATGCGTAATGTGTAGATTGTGTGTTGATCAGATGGTTTGGTCATGTGTCATGACAGAAAGCCCTGTCACTCAGACATAATGGAAGCTGAGCTAGAGGTCGACTACGGAAATAATGGACAGATGGAATATCCGAGGCCAAGGCCATAAATACTAGCATCTGTGTAGCACATACCATGGCAGCATCTGATACCTCTTCAAAACCTGATGCTGAAAAAGTGAGTGACGTTTAACCCCACCAGGACCGCGTAACTATAAAGTAATACCGGGTGACACAAAGTGCGATCATTCGGATGAGAATCCCCAGGTGCAAGTCGCAGAAACCCGATTCAACCGTAAGGTTATATTAGGGCTCCTGATGATGTTTATGAAGTAACCTAAGGTCAAGCTGGAGTGGGGTTCTAATTGAAAAAAAACACAACAACTGTTAAATAATAAACTGACGTTGAAAGGCAGAACAGGAAAACAGAAAAGTAAAGTAAAGTAAAGTAAAGGTCCATTTTCCATGCTTTCAAGTGGATTGTGTATACAGAGCTAGATCTATATTTTATAGACCGAATGGCTCTTAGTGGGTGATGTGGTCAGCATCACGCCGGCCTCCTTTACTTCCTAGGACTGAACCTGGTACCCACTCAATACTGGGTTGACCTAAGAGCCAAGGTCCTTTTTGAAAAAAGTCAGGCCACTATCAGGACTCCAGCTCATGACCTTCTAATCTGCAGGCGAGCGCCTAACCACTAGACCACTGCGGCTCACAGGAAAACAGATCAGGAAACAGAATTAAGATGCTAACAAGCCAATGCACTTATATAGCAAATGACACAATACTGAGCCATCCAAATTTGAGTATGAGCACCAAAATACAGATTATATACAAAATGCTTATACCAACACTGTGCTACCTGTGGTGATTATGTTGTTAGAACATGCCCACACTAGTGCCAGACTTGTACATTATCAAAGGCTAACCTACGAAAAATTAACACCCGCTAAACGAGATGCCTGTGAAATGCCAGCTACATAACAGTCCAAAACAGTTAGAAACGTACATTATCAGACAAAATGTAGGAACAAAACCATGCAGCGAATTTACTGAGAAACAAAAGATCAGATCAGATGGTTTGGCTATCCTCCGAATAACAGGCACATATTATGGCGGCCAAAACAGACTCTAACAGGGTCTCAGTCACATGTAAATTGCGGACTTCCGGCAACTTGAATGCGGTCTTCCGGTGACTACCGCCACCACCAAGAGTATCTCCCATTCACGAGCAAAAGCTACTGCATCTCCAGCAGCTTCCTTCATTTTATTTGCTCGTGAGTCCCAGCCATCTAGTATAGCCTCAGTACACGTCGCTCTAAGCGGCGTGGGAGATACTCTCGGCGGTGGCGGTAGTGGCTGGAAGTTCGCAATTTACATGTGACTGAGGCCCTGTTAGAGTGTGGTTTTGGCCGCCATAATATGTGCACGTTATTCGGAGGATAGCCGATAGTTGGCTCTCCTTTAAACTACGGCCGGTAGACAACAGTAGAAGGCCGGTTAGTGGAGTTCTGTCCCCTGGCTGCAGTGCAATTACAGAGTGGATTAGAGGGAACGAAACAAATTACATAATTACTGTATGTTGGCGATAGACAGCGTGCACTGCCCTGCTATAATCATACGGTTACAGTTTGGGTTAGGGGTAGGGTGTGGGTTAGGTTTAGGGTTAGGGTTAGGGTGTGGGTTAGTGTTACGGTTAGTGTCGCCGCAGCTCGTCTTCGCACAAACTCATAGTAGCAACCCAAACCCTAAACCTAACCCACACCGTATGATGACAGCAGGGCACTGCATGCTGTCTATCGCCAACACACAGAAATTATGTCACTTGTTTCCTTCCCTCTACTCCACTCTGTAATGTGTTGCAAGAAGCGGTAATTGAACGTGGTCGCTAATGTGAGTTGCAGCGTGGGGTCTGCCAGCCATGTCGACCTCACTGTGTTTTCTGATTCGTGCCGTCTCCAGTCCGTAATTGCACCGCAGCCAGGGGACAGAACTCCGACTAACCGGCCGTCTACCGGCCGTAGTTGAAAGGAGAGCCCGATAGTTTAGTCATCTAGTACTAGTACTGCTAGAAGAATGCAGCCAAAACAACAACCAACGCAGCCGCTACATATGAAAAGATTTTATGTGAAAGCAAGAGTCTGCCTTAGGAGAACATGGATAGGTAACAATAATGAGCTTCTTCATCGACACGCAATGACCATAACAATAGACATTGTTGCCCAGCAAGCAACAATGAATCACAAACTGCTCCTCCAACAGACAAGCAACACGTCGCTTGCTTAACTTGAAGTAAAGCTTAAAGTGCAGAAGTCATAGAAGGTAGCAACTGTGAATGTTTAGAGTGCAAAAGTACAACTAACAAAGTTAAAAAGCGTCAAATATTAACATGAAAAGAGGATAACTGTGTTAACTAATTCCAAAATAAAATAGATCTAGGCTTACTGTAAAGTAAACAAATGTACCGACGTCGTTTTTGCACGTCCTTGTTGACATTCGCTGGTGACCTTTGACCCCTGATTCCTGTATCCGGTTGACACAACTATCTGTTGCTTGACTAAAGTTGTCATGTCTTAGTAAAGAATTGCCGGATAACAAGAACTGATAACATTAAAAGTGTAGATATCAGAAGAAGGCTATGACTGAAACCATTCATACAGTTCAGTTAACGGTAACAAGATGGTTGGGCTGTGTGACAAGAATACCTTGGTACCAACTGTCAGAGAAAGCAATGCTGAAAACATAAACACAGTTCAAGGAAAACCGAGCAAACTTGAAACAACGGCATCGAGAGCAACCTTAAAAAACAAAATGAAGATATAATTAACATAATTCTTATACAACACATCTAAAAGAGCATACAGCAGATCACCCCGGTTCTTTTGTTTTTAGCGACCTCATCATACGTGATTTAGAAACATCCTATATCAAAGGGGGTTAGGGTTAGTTTTACTGACAGCAGAGAAGGGGGGACAATGATGATTGCCTGATGCTAAGAGAACTGATTACCTGTCATTGATTATGGCCAAATTCTGGATTTTGTACATTGGATTTTTTTTACCAAGCGTGTTACAGTTTGCATCTGCCGTCCGAAGCTGTTTCTGTGCCCTATCTCAATCAACCAAGAACAATCTGCTATGAAGGGTTGCTGCAGATGATCTCCAAGTGAGTGAGTGACGTTCAACCTCATTAGGACCCCACAACCAGCGAAAACAACATGTGACACAAAGTACAACCACTCGGATGAGAATCACATGGGCTCAAATCCCAGAACCCCCGTCCATTCATTTCAATTTGTTAGTTCCTATCATCCGTACTTTTGATTGGAAAATAAGTCCACCATCATGGAAAAGGCATTTTTTTTTACTGTTTCCTGCAAAAGCGAGTAAAATGCGCTGGCCTTTGCAGCTTGGAATGTTCCTTTGCTGTTCACCGTTTACTGACTACCATTCTTTAGCATAGTTGCGGTGGGCATCAACCCAGGATTCATCCACAGACTCCTATTTGAAATGTCAATGCCGCATTGGGATTTATTTCAATGTTAATTTAATTTTTCAAAGAGTAATAAGTTGATTTGTCTCTATCATTTGTAAGATCTGACGTTTAATGACATCTGCATCTAAGTCGTCAACTTTCATTTTCATTCTCTGCTAGTCATGAGTGTACTCTGTGTCTTATCTGATCCAACAGTTAAATGATGCTCTATCCAGACCAAGCGCCAATCGGGTTCGTTTTTCTAGGTCATGAATATCACAATATAA